GTGCAAAAGCCCCAGCATTTTTTCATCGCCTAACCTAGTCGTACGGCTGAATGGCAAATACTACACCTGGATGGCTGCATGTCCCATTGTCATGACAATGATCACCTTCCAGAAGCCACTAACCCATGTAAGTTGGCCCAACGCCATGCCTTTCGTGTAGCCCCATGCCTTGTTCGCGTCCGACTCTAATTAGATTATGTCCAAAATTGCCAATTGTCAGGATGCCATTGAGCAACTGATGTCCCAGACGGTGGAGGGCAAGTGCCTGCCTGGCGACGAGAAGCAGGAGGCTGTCGCCCAGGCTGACAATGGTGGTCAGACGAAGCGCTACTGGTGGAGCTGGCGCCGTTCGCAGGATGCTGCGCCCAACCATTTGAACAATACTCATGGTATGTCATTGGGCAAGGATGAGAAAGGTACATCAAGGGCACCTCCAAGTGTAATGAACAGCCCATCTAAAAGAGGTAATACCTTTCAGATGGTGATCAGGCAGCTGTGGCCACTCAAACGTCGCGGCCCACCTCGCCCGACATCAGCGATCCCACGCTGAGCAAGAGCGACTCCCTGATAAACGCGGAGAACACTTCGGCGTTGGTGGACAACCTGGAGGAGCTAACCATGGCCTCAAACAAGAGCGATGAGCCCAAGGAGCGCTACAAGAAGTCGCTGCGACTCAGCTCGGCGGCTATTGTAAGTCAACCCATGCAAGCTTCATATCGAACATAACCATGCCTATTCTCCTTCAGAAAAAACTAAACCTCAAGGAGGGCATGAATGAAATCGAGTTTAGCGTGACCACCGCTTATCAAGGCACGACGCGCTGCAAGTGCTACTTGTTCCGCTGGAAGCACAACGACAAGGTGGTGATCTCGGACATTGACGGCACCATCACCAAGTCAGACGTGCTGGGCCACATCCTGCCCATGGTGGGCAAGGACTGGGCGCAACTCGGTGTGGCGCAGCTCTTTTCAAAGATCGAGCAGAACGGCTACAAGCTGCTCTATCTGTCGGCCCGTGCCATCGGCCAGAGCAGGGTGACACGCGAGTATCTCCGGTCGATCCGGCAGGGCAACGTGATGCTGCCCGACGGTCCGCTGCTGCTGAATCCCACGTCCCTGATATCGGCCTTCCACCGCGAGGTGATTGAGAAGAAGCCGGAGCAGTTTAAGATCGCCTGTCTGTCGGACATCCGTGACCTGTTTCCCGACAAGGAGCCCTTTTACGCCGGCTACGGCAACCGCATCAATGTGAGTATCTCTGTAAAATGATAAATTGATACATTGTTTAGAAGTAAATTCGTATATTAACTTATTTTAATATTTGTGTATTGTTTCCATGACTAAATTAAGTTACTAAATATGGCTCTTCTTATCCTTGCTAGGACGTGTGGGCATACCGAGCCGTGGGCATTCCCATCATGCGCATATTCACAATCAACACCAAGGGCGAGTTGAAGCACGAGCTGACCCAAACATTCCAGTCCTCGTAAGTAGCGATCCGTTCACGCCTTAGCATAGTGTTAGATGTATCCGCACATGTGTCTCTCCCATGTACCTGGTACCGGTGTTGCTCATTACTGAACTCATGCCACATCCAATAACGTTGACTAATTCGCCAAAGAACACCAACAAACAAACGCTAATTGGCTCAAGTCGAATTAACTTCATCAAGTAACGCTAGGTGTTTTAAGCCTCCTACCTTCTATCTGTGTAGTATGTATCCATTGTACTACCTAAACCGCACCCCACTCAATCAATCAATCGATCGAAAGCCTGCCAAATCCAATTCAAGCATTTTGGTTGTCAAATTTACACAGTGGCTACATCAATCAGTCGCTAGAAGTCGACGAATACTTTCCCCTGCTAACCAACCAAGATGATTTCGATTACCGGACGGACGTCTTTGACGACGAGGAGTCCGAGGACGAGCTTCAGTTCAGCGACGACTACGACGTGGACGTCGAGCACGGTCCGAGTGAGGAAAGCAGCGGGGATGAGGACGATGACGAAGCCCTCTATAACGATGATTTTGCCAACGATGACGATGGCATCCAGGCGGATGTGGCCTCCGGCGACGAACGTTCCGCCGATGTGTGTCATATAATGCGAGTCCGCCGCGTCTCCACCAAAAACGAAGTCCTTTTGGCCTCGCCTCCCAAGTGGATTAATTCCTAGATTAGCTCCAGTCCTAGTCCCAGTCGAAGGTTGTGCAGCTTACAAATTGTGATACGTTTTTTAAGAGAGTTAGGATTGTGCTATATATGTATGTCTGTGCCTGATGTGCCAGGTCACCGAGCTCCAAGTTCGTCGACCAGTTAATTTTCGAAAGTATTCTGCTCCCAGCAGGTCTTTATGTTTAGTTCTAAGGATGACCATTATAATATATACATTACCCAACAAAATATACCTTAATTTTCGCCGTGATGGAACTCTTTTATTTCTCTGTGTGTGGCATGAGTTATGAGCTAGACCCGGTAATAGACTGTAGATAGAGTATTTGTAGATTAGAACGAGCATCGGTATTTCAGTTATTCGTGAGTCTTACAAAATTTGATGTAATAAGAAAATGCAGTATATCCCAAGGCGCCTTTTCCCGATTGAAAATGTCCAAGAAATTGCATTGCATACCCTCGGGCTGCTGAGATCGGGGAGATCATAGCATAGCCACAGGAGTCGGCCTTAAATGATTCGTTGATCTAATGCATTGCATTCTTTTCCAGATACTGCAGCATGACGTACATCGTCGATCAACTGTTCCCGCCGGTGAAACACGACGAAGCCTCCGCCGAGTTCTCCAACTTCAACTACTGGCGCGACCCCATCCCCGACCTGGAGATCCCCGAACTGGAGACGGCACTGGTGCCACCGAGCACGAAGGTGGACATGGCCACCCTGCGCCCCATTCCCGAGAAGTGAACCGGCTCCTTAGAAGCCCAACTTGCGTACTACAAACATATTTATACACTCTATATATACAAGATAGCGCTTTTCAAAATTGTTTGCCTAGCTTCAAACCCTCTAGATGTGCTTACCAAAAATGAAATATCTACATATATCATACATAAGCTTAGCCAGGATTCACGATTGCCTTGGTTTCATTATCATTTCCTACCGATCGTTTTTAGTTAATGGGTGGTTTAAGTTGTAATCAAAATTCATTTATTAATAGTAACTACTACAAGTAAGTTCCTTTAAGACTCCCGCAGGTTCTTAGAAGATGCATATTCCAAACGGCGTATAGGAGTTGTGATTTTGATTTCATTATTTTTCGTATGTGATCATTTAAATTAAGTTCATTGTGATGAGGTTTTTATTTGGAGTTTTTCTGAAAACTGTGCTCTAAACCTATGTATACTTAACTGATTGTGTTTCAATACAAATAAATGCTTCAAATTCAAAGAAAGCCAGCCTATACACGTCTCTGTTTGTGACTGGAAACCACCTCAATTCCCAGACGGCTTCTCATGTTGCAGTGGAAAGTTCTCGCATTTGGCTGGGGTACCTCCGTGACAGCCGAAGGCGGGGTGTGCGTGGGCGGGGGAGAATTTCATTTGTCAACGTAATTTTGCCAATTCAATTAATGCTCATTTAATGCAGAGCAGGCCGACCGGCCGACCGGCCAACCTACAGCATACACATTGGTGTACAAAGGCCCACGGACAACGAAGTGGGCAGTTAAGTGACCACAAACGGTCGGTCATGCAAACTCAGTGGCAGATCCACAATTACTTTTCCTAGGGGGCCAAACTCTCCTAATATGGGGGAATTATGAGAAACACGGTTTGCATATATGTATGTGAACATGCCCTTTGGTTCCTAGTTATATTAATTTGATTTCTCATTTAAACAAAGCCATTATGAAACAAAAAAGCCTGATTTATGTAATCAATAAACAAGTATAAGAAGGGCAAATAATGAAGATAATGTTCTCCCAAAAATATGTCAACATCTAGTTCAAGATTTTTGGATAAATTATGGCTGTTTTAGTCTTAGATTATTATATATATTTTTAAAAGATAGAAAATGGAAGTGAGAAACGATGGAAAATGAGTGTTGAAGTTTTCCTCATTGGCCCTAGATATTTTTCATTTTATTCTTTTAAGAAGTTTCTCCTAAAGAAGTGGTCCTATAACAAAGAAAATAAGAAATAAGATAATTCTATCCCGCGGGCCCCACCTATGTGAATCTCAGCTATGTTTGAATTTTCGCTCGCGAAGCCTCCAAGCAAACAATGGGAATTTAAACAGATTTGGCTGCTTATGCTAATGCCACAACTCAATTCAGAATCAGCTGATTATATTTTTATTTAAAATCTTGTTGTATACAATTTCGTTTAAAAAGACAGCATATTCTCGAAAGAGAAAAGGGTATATCGACTTTGCAATCATATAAAGAATGGGCATTTAGCCATGTCCACCCGTTCCTACGCAAACTAGTCTCTCAGTATTAAAGCTACATATATACATGAAACTTTCCCAAAAGTCTGTTTTCTATTCCAGAAAGTATATAAGTATATCACTATCACTATGAATAATCGAAGAAAATGTAACATCGCTGTTGTTGATCATAAAGTCGGTTTTAATTTGATACAAATCTGAGGACTATATCATATGACAGCTAAAATTATTCGGAAAATTAATTGAAAACAATAGAAGGGAAATCCTAGTTTCGGTGTTTTGGTTTAAATTACATTTACTGCAAGGGTTTTATATCTTTCTTTACTTTTCTCAGCTTAAATAAGGGAATGATATTTAATATTTTTATGCAGCGTTCTATTTGTATGCTAATGAAAAGGATTTAAGATCGTCAGGTGTAAATTAGGAAGAACGTATTAGCCGTCATATTGCTTACGAAGTAAACACATTTTTTAATCAAGGAAAATTGAGAAGTTATATCTAATATGTGGCTGCTGAACCGTGGTAAAAAACCCAATGTTGTACTCTAATATTAAGAACGAGCTAGACTGTTCAGCTCTTCTCTACTGGTACGGATATAAAAACTCTTCAATCCTAGATATCAGTTTTATATCATCAGACAATCCTTAATTTCTCGCCTTCTCAACAACCTCGAACTTATTCCATAATTCCAAAAATTCCATAATGAGATTTAAATTACAGCCGGCGAGTGCAACTCAATTGAGCGACACTCAAATCGCCCCACAGTTGAGTGCGACATACCCACATTGAGCGGTGCTCGAAGGTATAAAAGCTGGAGCAGCCCAGGCCACAGTCAACAGTTTCCTCCGATCAACCACAGAGCGAGCAGTCCTCCCTCAATCTTGCAAATAGCAAAAAAGAAGAGCAGTCACTATCACTATGAAGAACGCTGTTGCCATTCTGCTGTGCGCCCTGCTGGGTCTGGTAAGTTTCAAGCGGAGAAGCCGATGGCAGCCAGTAATCCGCTTGTTCCTCGACAGGCCTCCGCCTCCGACTACAAGCTACGCACCGCCGAGGATCTCCAGAGCGCGCGCAAGGAGTGTGCCGCCACCAGCAAGGTGACCGAGGCACTGATCGCCAAGTACAAGACCTTCGACTATCCCGACGATGACATCACCCGCAACTACATCCAGTGCATCTTCGTCAAATTCGACCTGTTCGATGAGACCAAGGGCTTCAAGGTGGACAACCTGGTGGCGCAACTGGGCCAGGGCAAGGAGGACAAGGCCGCTCTGAAGGCCGACATCGAGAAGTGCGCCGACAAGAACGAGCAGAAGTCGCCCGCCAACGCCTGGGCCTTCCGTGGCTTCAAGTGTTTCCTTGGCAAGAACCTGCCACTCGTGCAGGCCGCCGTCCAGAAGAACTAGGAGTTCAGCGCAGTTTCGCGTCAATTCTAGAAGCGCAAGAACAAAACACCAGCATTGCGGAATTTCGAGTTGAAATCCGTGCAGGCTCTGCAATCCTACAATTGAAATAAAACCATATAATAGTGCTTGAATTAAGTGTTCTTTTTATTAGCTGACTCGCATGCATTCACATTATTTCTCAGGGCTGGAAGAGGGGCTGGTGGATCCGCAGGAACAGCTTGACATCGCATCCTCAATCCCAAAAACCTTGTCCCGCCCAAAGGAAAGGCATTGATAGCTTGTTTAATTCGATTATATTTGTCATCATCTTTTTCAGTTTAGTAAATTCAACTTCTTTTCTTTACTCTATATATTTTTTGAATATATAAATTACGAACTTTCTTTTTTATCTATTTTGTTGATTTACTTCTTTCCCAAGAGTCTTGTGTTCTTTTGATTTTTTTTATTATTTTCTTCCTTCTTTTTCTTGATTTTGCCATCTTTTAACTTCTTTTATTACGGTTTGTGGTTTCTTTTGCGTTTCTTTTATATATACTTATTGATATATATTTTTTGTTTTTCTAAATCAACTTCTTGTTTTTCGTAATCTTTTTTTTTTGATTTTTTATTTGAAAATTAAAATGTGTGAAAAAGGGGTGTTTGGTGTTGGGTGCTTCAAAAAACATTATAGCCAAGTCAAGATATTCGTTTCCCATGTTGATTTTTTATTATTTTCGAGGTCTCTTCTTTTCGCCTGTTTTCTTGCTGCTGATGCATTTTTTATTGAAACGATATTTTTTCTGGCGTTTTCTCTTGCGATTGTTTTCTCTTTTTTGTTTTATTTAGCAAAGAAGTTTTTTGGCAATAAAATAATGTTTTTTGAAATTATATTGTAAAAAAATCTGAAATCAAATAGTTAATGGATTAAAGACGAGTGTCGGTAAATTGCATGGTTGCATTATAATAAGTCCCAATACGATGCAGATGAGAGCAAGGCATTCCTTTAAAGGCTTCGGAATATTATCCAGTCTTTGAACTTAAACTCTAGCCTATTTAAACTATTTTGCGTTTTCCAACAATTTAATTTCGTATTTTAAACTGAAGCATTAGCTTATCTAACCTATTGCTCCATAAAGAAGCGTACCCTTTGGTCTCTCAACTCTTATGAAAAAAATCCAATTTACCATAGAAATTCCTATGTATATATTTTTGTACATATTTAAAGATGTAGGATAACATTTTGTAAACGACATAAATCGGACGCAACCCCACAAAAGAAATTTTATCAATCAACTCATAAATCAGTCTCGTTGGTCTGGGTTTTTAAGGGATCAGTTCGAAATTGTTAACTTACCTTACTAGGGATTTAATAAAACAATAATCAGTATGGAGCGTAGTAATTGGCGCGACCACGGTATCCCCTACTGGAACGAAAGACAGACCGGGATTAGCTGGATCCAATCGGAATTGGCCAGAGCCCACTTACATAGCGCGACGGGCGCCTCGGAAGGTGGAGTGACAGCACGCTCTGGAGACACGGGCTCCTCGACCCCGGAAGCTGCCGCGGGCGAAACGGTTTGTGGTGGAGAGTCCAGGGCGGTTTGTGCGCTTCGACATTACCTGAAAGACCATATAGACGGGATGTTAAAAATTGCGTTCTTGCTTATACATTTACGAAACGTGGGAATCGTTAGGGGTCAATTATTAAATGACTATTTATATATGAGTTTATTAAGTAGCGGGTATGGTAAAAGAAAGTGCTTCATATACTCACTTTAATTTGACGCCCTCGGAAGAGGGTTTCGTTCATGGCCAGAGCCGTCTCGACGAACTCCTTCGATCCGAACTCGATGTACGCGAATCCCTTGGGGTGCCCGTCAGCCTTATTGCAGAGTATGGTTACTCGGTTGATGGTGCCGCAGCCGTGGAAGTGGGCCTCTAGTTCCTCGGCCGATGCGCCGTAGTCCACATTGCCCACGTAGACGGACCGCGTGTCAATTTCCTGCTTCTCCTCAAGAGAAAGCGGCACTGTGGCCAAGCCGGTGGTAGATCCACCGGCCATTTGTTTGTCCACCTCCGACTGCATCTGCTTTATCTTCTCGGCCTCCTCCTCCATCTCCTTGACGCGAGCCTTGATGGCCTCTAGTTCCGGGTCGATTTGCATGCTGCCCTCCTCCTGGCGACGCGGAAAAGATGGAATTTAATGGTATTTGGTTCGGAGTGATGAGTAAACGCCCGAAACAACAGCAGACAATGGATTGGCGGTGCGAAGTGACGCTCTGAAAAAGGCAGCCATTGCTGCGACTTTCGGCTTTGTATATCCCCCCAAAGCTTTGCGAGCTTTTCCAGGGAATTCGGCGGGCTTTCGAAGGGCGGGCCAAGAAACTGGTTCTTGAACACTGTCAACAATGGCAACCCCAACTCACCTCGGTCTCTGTGGTGATCTCAGTCTCTTGCTCGCCGTTCGTCTCCTCCAACGACTCCAGAAGCTGATCCTCGTTCAGTGTGATATCCTCATCGGCCATGGTTTAGGATTTGGGTTTGTTTACGTCTGCTGCAAAAGCTCGGTTTTGTTGGCGCAAAAGCTTTCGGAGTAGTACACAAGACGGCAGTTGTCGTAACTAGCTGTCAATGACAAAGAGCGGCGAAAGTAAGCACAAAGAGAATTGAAAACTTCAAGAGAAAACTTCATACAAATGCAGTGAAAATCATAGAACAAAAGTATATAAATTCTGGTTGCGGAATCCTTAATTTCTAGGTTTCACTGCGTTTTATCAATTCATATGCAATTTTACCCACTATACTTACGTTGAATATATGTACAAAATTGGTGCTCGTTCTGCTGACGTTGAGTTCGCCCAAAATGGCCGCTGCCCTGTGAAAACACACGTATGTTGGGTTGCTGTTTTTCGTTATAAAGTCAACGTTTTTCCAGCTCTTTTTGCCTTCTTTGCGCGTTAGACCACGACAGCTTATATATTAACCGCTTATTATTGACTAATATTTACAATAATACAAAAACGTTCGTATTTTTTGACACCGAAAACAATTGTATTCGCCTCGTTTTTAGGGATGACAGTTCGGTACAGTTTTCGCCTCGATATGTTGCTTGGGGGTAGGTTGCCCTATCGATAACTAGGGGTATTTAAACAAACAGTTCCTTGGATGAAAGTAATAATAGTATTTTCGCACCATAATGCAATTTTAAATATGCCAAAATAGTGGAAGAAGAGGAATGTGAAGTATCATTAAATAATGAGTTGTAAAAGAAAACCCCACTTGTACAAAGAATTGTTTCAAAAAAGTTAATAGTCATGCCCTTAATGCTTTTGCTGTTGCGGTATTAGATTGAACATGTCTGGTATTTTGCCGGTCTATCAATGTCCAAACTTTAGCATATGTTTACAAGATCTCTTGCGGAGTAACGCAAAATAAAGTATAAGTTATACATAGCTTCTGGGTTACCTGCTCAACCGCATTAACAAACAAAATCTCCCATGAATAACAATAAAAAGGGAACATGAACGATTCCTCCGATTCGGAGTACGAGGACCAAGATTACCTGGTATTTGCGGATTTCAAGAACCACATTCATCCGCATCAGCTAAAGCACGAGGACGCGGCCATCAAAGTCATCGGAATCGAGAGTGACACGCCCATGGCGGAGGTGAATGGAAGCATCTACCGGGGACGCTACGAACATTCCGTGGGAACCAACGTGTTCTTCGAGAAGGAAAAAGACAACCTGGCAAGTGATCCGCTCTTTGAGTCTGTGTGTCGCCAGCGTTATAAGTACGTGAACAAATCCACCAAGGTGATATCTTTTGAAAGGGTCTACGTCGACAATTTGCACCAGGAGGTCGAGAAATCGGTTGTAGCTGAAGACGACGAGCAGACCGAGTCAAAGCCAGAATCATTAAAGTTAAATATTACCTATAAGGAGGCTATCAACAAGTTTGGAGAAGAGCATTAAGTGTGGTGAGCCGAATAAGATCCACAACAGAAAACACTTTTTCAAGACATACCCCTTAGAAACATGGATATGACGACGGAGCCAGCTTTAAACCTGCGAGACTTTCAAGCCGATTACCAAAAAAAATTATTCGCTACTGCGGATAGTGCGGACGAAGTGCCCTTCTTTCTGCAAACAAACCCATTACTTGTGGACGTGGGTGAAAGCTGTTCCCTGGAATTGATCGATTCCCCAGACGACAGCTCGATTGCAGTCTTCCAGCCCGCCGCCGACAAATGCCGTCCAACCTTTGCTCCGCCGCTGGAGAATCAGCATGTGCCCTCCACCTATTCGGTTTTAAGCCAGCACAAGGCCAAGTCCCGTAAAAGTCCCTTTGGCCGCACCCAGTACAGTCACAAACTGAATCCGCCGCCGACAGACTCCCCAAACCTCCATCTTGGTGCTTGCGGTGAACTGGAGCTAACCGTGCGCCTTTACCGACCACCGCGGGCCTACCATCGAGGCTTCAAGGTGGAGAGCCCCGTTTTTGCCGAGGAATTCGTATGTCTGGGCAGCAATTATCTGACCGAGCTGCGAGACAAGATCAGCTGCGTTTGCAATGGAAAACGCTTTGTCGACATCAGCGACGATCCGGATGCACCATTGCCATCAATTGACACAAATCCCGGCTACTTCTTTATTAACGACACATTCTACAATGACAAACGCAATCCAAACAACCCCGACTATTCCCAGACCGTTTTGCGGTGGGCGGCCAACGCGAACGGAGTGAACGTTGACACACTAAAGGTAGAGAGTATGGAGGGCAAAAGATTCATCGACCTCACTGTCAGCCCCGGGTCACCGCTACACTACCTGCACCACGGCAATTGCGAGCACCTGTTCGTGATTTCCCAGATCGAGATTCTAACGCCACGCAGTGAACGCCCAGATCGCAGTCTGTATCCCTTTCCTCACGCCTTCAGCACATTTAATCGCAGGACTTGCTATATGTGCGGAATTCGCAGTTATAGTTTCATCGTGAACCAGTCCCGGCGACAGCTGCACGATCCCTCCTACCTGTGCCGCACTTGTTTTCTCAGATTCTTTTACGTGGATGGTGTCAAACTGGGTCAGTTCAAGGCCTATCGCATGTACGACCATGTGGAGGTGGAAGACGAAGAAGAGGAGGGTAGGGGAGCGTTTCCCGAGGTTAAACAATTAAGTCCCCCTTCTTAAGTAAACATAATATATATAAATATGTGTGATTTTGTTTTTATTTGTGAGCTCCTTTGACTGCAAGATCGCTCTAGGAGTTGATTGATATCTTGTTCTTGTAAAATATTTGTAGATAGATTTAAATAAAATACATACATGTTGCAACAAGAGTAATTGGCATATATTCGACTGCCGTAAGCTGCCTAAATTCCATGCAATCTAGATTAGCAAAAAGTTAGTGTCCAAGTTAGGAATACAAAAATGCAAACAACGTAAATAGTACGATACATCTGGCTTAGAACTAACGTTAATAGATATAGGCAATAGTTCAATTTTTAAAAATTTGTTTAAGGATTTGCACACTTGGGTGCAGAGTATAGACTTGACCAAGACCCATATAAAACAAACCAATAGACTAAATATGGCCAATAACATAATTCATTATCCTAGACAAGATACTAGTACTAATGGTACTTAGCAGTACAATACAGTAAAATTCTGTGCACTGGGACTCCGGCGTGAACGTGATGAGAGACTGTGCGCTTAGTTACTGGAGCGTAGAAATGCATCAACAACTTATTGCCAATCCGACCAACAAATATCATTACGAATAACTGCAGGCTGGGATTCCATTCGCCCGGACCTCTTTGGTGTACGCGCTTGCGTTTACTTCAATGTTAAAGCTTTGACCAGCGGCTTCTTGATGGCGAGCAGTGGATGCCTAGCTCTGGAAGACCAGCTCCCGCTCCACCGACAAGTACTCTAGCATCTGCGCCGGCACTGGCAACTGGGCCAGCTGCTCGCGCGGCATCTGGCGCTGCAGGACTCGGCGGCATAGGTCCTGCAGCTTGGGCATGTTGGCGTACCGGCTCAACGGATACTTGAGGATCACTGGAAACGGTGGCTGCATCTCGTTGGGAACCTTCACAAAGCAAACAAAGTTGTCGTTGGTGCAGCGGTGCAAGATATCTTCGATCATCTCCACAATGGATTCGTACTTCAGTTCCTCGAAATGCCAAAATTCGTCGCGAAATTCCAGTCGATAATGCAGTGTTACGTTGACAATCCGAAAGCTCAGCGTGAATTGGGATCCGCTGGTCTCCGAGTCTCGGACTAGAAACGACCCAGTTGGCTTGTCGCTCAACTGCCGCTGCGAATCGCGCCTGGAGATCTCACCCCAGTACCACACTTGACTGAAAACAAAGGACATGAGTCATCGATCGTTAATGAATGCAGAAACACGGCGCTTACTTGAGCATCTCGGAGCAGGCCTTGTACATAATCTGGTTTGGTGAGTGGGCATCCTCGCGTTCCAGCCACTTCTTCCGTATAAAGCGCAAGTAGTCGTGTGTGAATGGTAGCGTGGGTTCCGGGCAGATGGCCGGCGTAAGGAACTCGTAGGTGGCATCAGTGGTTCCGCCGTCGTCGCAGTCGCCCATCGAGTGCCAATTACGCAGGGAGCTGAGCCCTTGGCCCACCTTCCGTCGGAGTCTGGCAAACACGTTTCGCTTGTCCTTGTCCCGCCTTCTGCGCAGAGTTCCTGTGCCCGTACCCCCATTGCTGCAGCTGGCCATGGAAGAGTCCACTGCCTCAAGGACGCAAACTTCGTTGTTGTTGTTCTGGGATCCGCTGGTCGAGGCGGATGCTGACACGGTCAGCGCCGAGTCGGACTTCTTGCGCCTGGTCAGGGAGTGGAACCAGCCTTTCTTCTCCTTCTCCCTGTCCCTCGCGGAGTCGCCACCGCCAGTGAGCGCCTGGCTCCGCTGGCTGTTTTGGTTTTGACTCTGGTCGCCGTGGCTCATTTTGGAGTGGGATCGGAACGGAACGACGTCCTCGTGGTGGAATCACATCATTGGTCTAATTCGGAGCCGTGAATAATGCTAAACTTTATTGATAAGAACTATTTGTTTTCGTTGTACACAAGAACTGTCTTATCGCTATCGGTCGTGCGTACGTGGTTTGCTATCGATAATATAAGGGAGTTTAAAAAATTTAATTCTCCACAAGATAAGCCTTGATTTATCCATTATTACAGCTCCCTGATTTGGTCTTCTTTAAAACTGAAAATAGCTGACAACCATATTATTTGTCATTTTGCAATTTTTTTTAATATTTAATTATTGTTTAATTCTTTTTTATAAATTGCAAAGAAAATATTACATTTATTTTACAGAAAAATAAACACATCCAGTTAACGATAACGAAATCGATTATACTTCCATCTCTAGACAGGTGAGCGCATTTTAAAAACATTTCAATCAGAAGAAAACTTATTTAACCATGCGCCATTCCAGCATGAAGGTTGATCTATCGAACTTTTTCAAGGACGAACGTCGACATTCGTTGGTTTTCATCGATGCAGCATGGAAAAACATCAAGGACCTCCAGGACCACATACAAAACCTCTTCAGCTTGGCAAGAATTTTAAGAATCGATAAATCCTAATTCTAAATAAATTCTAATCCAACAGGAGGACATTAGTCTGCTCACCACAGATGGATGCTTTCTGCCCCCGAGGGAGTCTATCAAAGTACTAAAGTCTGCTGAAGGACTGAAGTAGGTAAAGTTTTTTCTTTTTACGAGCTACTCGAGCCTATTTCATCTCTTGCAGAGCCTTTCGGTTTGTCAGTCGCGATAATAATACATTTGTGAGCCCTGCTCCTGTAAAATGCAGCAAAAAGCGAAAGAATCGATCCGCCGATGAACAGGTTCACCTATCCGCCTCCACTCCCCTCCGACCATCAAAGCGCTCCAAGAACCAGAGCAACACAGAATGGCTCGAAATTGCGGCAGAACCATCTTGTGTGAAAATAGATGAGCTGGATGATGAGGCTCCTGGACCGTCAATGAGCTTGAAAAACAAGGACGCTACAAAAGCCCCTAACATGTCAGTGAAAATTGAGGCAGAGAACAAGGAATCTGTTCCTCAGACTCAAAAACGATCCATGCGTAAGAAACGGCCTAAATCGCCCGGTGGTACTGACCAGGAAGAGGACGACCCTGCTCCTCTGAGTATTTCTCGATACTCGGTGAAGGAAGGCAAAATGTCAGAAGGCAAGAAGCAAAAGAAAGTGCCTGACACTCTGTCAGAAAAATCTGCTATGGTAACGCTGCAGGAAGACAAAACTCCAGAGGAGCAACAAGAAATGCCAGCGAAACTATCTCAACTCAAAGCTGTGGACCAAATTGAGAAGGGTCTTGGGATATCTACTAGTCTCCCATCCATCTCCTTCCGCTCACCTCTCTTAGAGATGTCCGATAATGTTCCTCGCATATTTCAATTTTCAACTAGAAAAAACAAAGTAGAAATTCTGGAAAATATAAAACTTGCGCCCATCAACGCAGGTTTTTTGCCGCAGAAGAAGGCTAAGGGTGATGATACGGCTAAACAATCCCCAAGTGATGGGAAAGATTCAATTTTAGAGTTCGAATCCGAAACTGTACGCGACCAAGAATCTCCAAATGTCCAAAATAAAGAAACTGTATCAGCAAATGCAACTTTTTCCGAAGACATAATTGAAACATCAACTCTTCCGGTGTCCACAACAGGAGTTGAATTTGCTTGTCTAGACAATGCGACTGAAACTGAGACCACTCTTCCGTCCGAAGCTGATGCAACTAATCCACTTGAATTTACTGATTCCGAATTACATCTGGAAGAAGCATCCCAATCCGAAAAAATTATGCCACATGACGCGAATGCATCTTCGATTAAAATTGAAGTTGATTCTAAGGATGTTAAGCCGCCGCCAGTACGCAATTGTGCTGAACAACTGATATCCGATTCCGACGACGACGTGATGGTGGTAGACGACTCCAATATGGACGTTTCAGACTCTGATTCGGATATAGAGCCAGTGCCAGGTGAGATCACAAGCATTATATTGGTAGTTCGATATACTTATTAGCGCACTTCAATTCTTAGTCGTAGAAGATAGGCGGTACTTAGACATGATAAAGGACCTAATGCGAAATGCAACTCCGCTCACGGGTCTGCCCACCAGGGGCGATACAATTCTATTTAAACTGCTGAAGATCAAGGGAAACGCAAATTCAGGAACAACCGAGTTTATCTCCGGGAACTGCACTTACGTCAACCGGCGCACCAAAATCTTCACAGTAGAACCAGAAAGTAAGGAACCATCAATTTAAATGTTATACCCGAATCTGACATGATTTAAATTTGTAGCATATCCCCCCGAAATCGGACGCATAATGAGTCAATATTATAAGAGTGGCTTGGACGAGTCTTCTGAGGATGTGCGTACATTAAGTATTCATCTTCAAGATATGAATGAAGCCAAAATCGTTGTAGCCACAATCGACTGATTATTATGTGTACATTCTTGAGTTCTATTTCCAGGGTTTCGTAAATTTATAGCTTTTAAAATACAAACGATTAAACAACATCTATATGTACGAATTCATGTTAGTTCTCTATCCTCTACTTAATGTGCTCCTTAATCTTCTTCAGCAAGTCATCGGCTTCATCTCCGGTCTTTACGCGCAGCAACAGCGACGTGGCATTGGAGTCCTGTGGCGTGGGTACACAGACCATCATCACATTGTTCTTACCCATGCGCTGGCAAGGTATACCCTCGCTAAGAATAAGGTTGACCAGGATGTTGCCCAGATTGGTGTCGGCGCGGACTAGTAGTTGGGTCTTTTCTGAGCCCTTGACGGGTTTCAAGTACAACGTGCCTACGCCGCGATCGCCAAAGTCACTGTCTTTCTTAATGAATACCTTACACCGCTTGGAGTATATAGCGTCTTCCTCCACAACCTGTTTGGATTTAAACATTTAACGTACATACGTTAACTACTTATTGAAAAGAAAATTCTTTTATAAGTCACCTTTTTAAACTCGACTTTTGGGGGTGTGTCCTCTTCTTCCTCCGCTACTGCAGCTGGCGGCTGAATGTTTCCGAAAGAGAAAGGCGTGGTACTGTTGGTGAAGGAAAAGCCCTTTGTGCCGTCTCCTGCTCCTTCAGGCGCCTTTTCGAAACCTGCAAACAACGAGGTGCTTGGCTTGTCGTCGTTGTTACTTTTCAGTCCAAAAGAAAAGCCATTGGTCTTCGGTGGCGAGAAGTAAGGCTCATCCTTTTTGGTTGTCGTATCCTTTGCTCCAAAGCTGAAAATGCTGGACTTAGGGGCATCATCGGCTTTGGCTCCTCCAGAGGGTTTAGGTATCAAAGTGAAGATACTGGCGGAAGACGGCACGGGCGCGCTGGAAGCTGCCGTGCTGCCGAAGGAGAACAGTGGTGCTGTGGTCGTGGTGGTTGTCCCACCACTGGTTATGGTGCAGTTGGGCTTTTTAGCAAAGGGAGATACGCTGGCGCCTATTGGTGCGCTGGGCTTGCCAAACGAAAACGTAGCAGCCGATTTGGATGGCGACGATGCACTAGACACTGTTGCAACTGGTTCTTCAAAACGGGATAGTGCCGGTTTTGACTTCGTGGAGTTCGTTCTGGCGCTCTCCTCGTTTTGCAGGTCCTTAAGGTGCTCCTCGTAGTTCTTAAACACTGGAGTCAGTATGCAGTACGGAGTTTTGTCCATGTGCTCCTTGAGGAATTTCATGACGGCGCGATTTAGCTCGGCAACGCTTTCACGGTACTCCGAGCTCTCTATGGTGGATTTGAAGCTAGTGCTGCTGCTGCTGGCTAGCGACGTTTTGGACTCGCTGCTCTCGTTCTTGGCAGCTGATATGTTGCCAAATATCGAGGTGGTTGTCTTGGCGCCATCGATGGTACTTGTTGATTCCTTGGCCGGAGAAGGAGACGGGGCCGTGGTGCTGGTGCTGGCGGAGCCGAAAATGCTAGTGGTGGCAGGCCTATCGGCAGAGGTGGAGTTGAGCCCGAACGAGAATGCAGGCTTTGACTCGCTGGAGGAGGTCGCGGCTGTAGCCGGCAGATTGGCCAAGAAGGAGAAAGGCGAGCCCGCAGCTGCGCTCGCAGCCGGCTTGCCGAAACCTAAAAGCAATTGATGTGAGCAAGTCCCTCAGGTCTGAAAGGGTTCGATAGCTTACCGGAGAATCCGCTGAACACGCTTTTGGGCTCTGCCGTCTTTTCTTCGGCGCCATCCACTTCAGCTGCAGACGATCCACCGGCAATCATGCGGCGCGCCTTCTTGATAACGCGAGTCTTTAGCTCCGCTTCTGTGGCCGTACGGAAGGTGCCGCGTTCCTCGGGTTCCTCCTCCTGGTCCCAGTTGTCGTGGTTCAGGTTCGAGGTGGCCTGTCGCTTGCCAGCCATCTTTTTCTACTCTGTATTGAAATTCAAAGCAAATGCCAGTGAAAATGCAAAAAACCGAATGAAATCCACACCGCGTTGCTAAAGTCGATAAATGTTATCGCTCCCTCGGTTGGCAGACGCATTTGTGAGTCGGCTTAGCAGGGGTGCTATCGATACATCATCGATAGGGTAACAACAGCGAGACGCCAGCAGCACAAAATCGCAATAAAACAAAAGTATTAAATCACGTCTAAAGTTAGGTCGACCATGTCCAGTGCCGCGAGACCCAGTCCCAGTACCAGTCCGAGTGTGTTCCTGATCCTGCCATGATTGCCGCAATTCCGGGTACTGCGCACTTCCCTCACCCAGAGCCAAAGTTAATTGTGCATCGCGAGTAGTACTAACAGTACCGAAAACGCAGAAAAGCGAAAAGCAAAAACAGAAATCGCAAGAGGATGATGAGAACGTCAGTGTGTGGATATATGGATATAGTGCCAGGGAAAGTGCGACGAGCAACAATACAAATCGGGAGTGAACAAAGCCGCGGAGACACGTACAGTGCTTAAAGGCGTTATCCTGGTTTCTCAGCTATTCGCCATCCCGCTCCCACTCCCGTTTTGCTCCCGTGCCACGGCCTTGGGCGTGAGCTGGTGTGCGTGTGACTCGCGTGTGTGCGTGTGAGTAAGAGATACGTTGTATATACCAGGACATCGGGATATCCTGAGCAGCAAAATGCCGCCATCCCTGATTGCCGTGTCCGAGTTCGTGGAGGAGACGCGCTCCGACTACAGCTCGCCCACCACCTCCACCTTCGCCTCCCGGATGCCCGACTGCCGCCACACGATTGGCGTCCTGGAAGAGGTAAGTGTGTTGTCCAGGGAATGTTCCCTGCGCTAAGTTCCTTAGGTAGGCAGGTAGTCCAGCCAGCCATCCCTGTACCTACATTTAAACCGATACCTAGTTCAAGGTGGCCGATCCAGGAGGGTTTACAGGTGTGTTCCGGGAATCTCAGTCATAGCTATAGTTTTCCATTTGCGTTGAGCACTTTCTATGTATTAAACAAATTATTATAATTATTTATATGGGTCACTGATGAAGAATTGGATTTATTGTTGAAAAACTAATATCTTTGTATTTTAAAGAGAGTTAAGAATATCTAATCGTTATTACTTGCTTATTTTATTTATACCAGATTAAAGAAATAAGAATAAAGACTGGCTTTTAAAAATAGATAACTTGTAATAGTTGTACCATCACTGGTTTTACAAAATAAAGTAATATAGTCCAAGTATAATGGAATCTAATAGATGTCTGTGAAAGTGAAAACAGGAGCACGGCTATATGTATATCCGTGCGATTCTGCAGCAAACATGGCAGACGACACCCCCTACCACACGGTGATGATTATTATTTTCCGGGGGGCAGCAGCGGAAAGATTTGTAAATTGGCGCGGCGCCAAAATGAGCCACCGCCTGTTATTTTAGTGCGATCTCTCTCTGGCCGGCTCTCACTCTCTCTTTCTGCCCGCAAGGTGGTTTTCCTCGATTCCACAAAAATAGTATTATGAAAATACAAAGTGCATTCCCGACAGTGCTAGTGCAGATGGAGCTAAGGGCGTAGGGAACTGGGCACCAAAGTGGGAGTGGCTGCCACATGAGCATGCTGCAATTTCTATATTTACTCAAGGCAGCTGTGATGTCGCCCACTTTCATGTGTATATATGTAAGTACACGGATATAATACACCCGCTGATAAAGCTAAGTACACAAACAGTATTTTACGGCCGGAAAAAGGCGTGTGATAAGAAAAGCGAATCCGAGGACCGTGGCTATTCCCGTACGGGAAATACCGCCCACAGAAAAAACAGAACGTCTTAGTGGAAAATTCATCCATGTTGTCATCCGAAAGACCCTTGAGTGGGGCCGATTGTGCAATATACACATAATGCTCCAATTCCCTAGGCTAATGCAGCGCCCGGCGAAACAAAATTAGACGATTTATTGCTCACGTCATGCCCAGCTTTTCCCGGAACTCTGGGCCGCCTTCTTGGACGCCAAACCACATCCACTTCCACGTCAAACATTTAATATTTAATTTCGCTGATGGATTTTTGGTGTAGCCCAAGCAGCCCAGTGACCTCCATTCCCCGCCAGTTAAATAAATTTTATTTCATTTTTTCAGCCAGTCTCTCCCATTGCGTGTTTATTATATTTGGAGCAGCTGTAAAACTGTCTAAAATGAAATTTAATTTGGTTCGTCCAAGAGTTTCTCTCTGTGCTATTCATTTGGCCGCTTCCACAACGAAGTGTTGCTGTTTTAGCCTTATTCTGGGGCTTTGGCTTATTATAAATTAGCATCTTTTGTTATCAAAACAGCTAACTGGCCGGGCAACTCGTCCAAAGAGCAAAACAAGTTGACGAATATTGTTAGCTGGTTTTTGTTTTCGATCTAGGCGTGTTGTTTGCATTCCCAGTAATTTGCTCAACCTCTGCTCATGACTAATCTTCTCCAGCCGATGGCTGATTGCCAGGGGTTCGTTTGTCCACAGATGTTTGCCACTCAACGGCTATCGCGTAGTATAGAATTGCAATCGCAAATAGTCAGGTTTCCCTGGGGTTCGTTCTTAGCCGATTCGCTTGTAATTTTTTTCAGCACATAACATTTAATCTAATCTGCAGTATTTATTGGGCAGTTGTTGACTGGTAGCTCATATATCAGTTTCAGCTGGAATGTAAACGATCTTTGCCCATTCTGATGTGATTCGCAGACAAGTCAGGATCCCTGCGCCCCTCCTTGGTGGCTAATTCAATTTTGAATACAGCATTTTGAATTGAAAGCAATTGGGGAGAGTCAGCGGGTCAATGGGGGAACGAACTCTTTCCTTCTCGACTTCGGAAATGTACTGAAATAATTGTTTATGCGGTTCCGGTTTTGGCTTATAAAAAACTTTGCCACATAAAACATTTATGCTGGAAAAAGGGGGTGTGTATCAGTAGGGAAACTGCCTCGAATCTTTTTCACTTGCTGTCTTAATTGGTGCATGCGACTGCATTTGAAATGGGGCTGGTTCGGTTATTAAGTTTAATAATAGAAGTGACCTTGTCGTACATTTTCAATTAGCTGGTGCCATAAAATGTGAGGGGAATATCGAAGGGGTGGGTCAACTGACAGGCGAACTGAATACCTAATGCCGATATTGACGCGATTTCAATCTGGAAATATTGTTCATTCGGCGTCCGTCCAAGGCGTTTCCTCTATTGTGTCTTCCCATCTTTGGCTAAGCTTGGGAATGCGTTGTGGTTGTTCCTCCAAAGCACAGAAGGTGCAGGTCGTTTATTAAAACAATAAATAAAATTGATCGCTCTTACAAATTTGAAGAATGTTCTATATCAAAACCTCTCAATGATGCAAAACCCTATCGCTAACAATTGTCTTACAGAACTTCCTTAATGAGTAACATTTTTCCATTCACGTTGAGACTATGCTCAATTTATCACTATAATAACTATGGGATTTCCCTCTTTCAGAGATTGGAGTTTGATCGGGAGGGTCTAACTAAGTTGAAGAAAGCTGTCAAGGCTATCCACAACTCTGGAAACAGTGAGTACATTCTCTGAGATATGATACTATTTATGTATTTTCTTACAAATAATCGTTGGTTTCGCTTTTATCTTTTAGCCCATGTGGACAATGAGATGTTTATGGTGCGAGCTTTGGAGCGGTTGGGCGGCAAGGTCATTGAGCAGGATGAGCCGGACATCGGCGCCGCGTTCCTTAAGTTCAGCGTTGTTACTAAGGAGCTCAGCGCACTGATGAAAACTCTGGTAGGTATCACTGTTTTGTAACCGTTACAGGGTAATCTAAATGATAATTTGTTTACCCACAAAAACAGATGCAAAACATCAACAACATTGTGATGTTTCCGGTGGACTCAATGCTGAAGAGCGAGCTGCGGGGTGTGAAGGGGGACATGAAGCGGCCGTTCGACAAGGCGGCCAAGGACTACGAGGCAAAGTTCATCAAGATTGAGAAGGAGAAGAAAGCCCAGGCCAAAGAGGCGGGTATGGTGCGTACAGAGATCGACGCCGCTGTAGTGGCCGAAGAAATGGAAAAGGAGCGTCGACTCTACCAGCTGCAGACCTGCGAGTATTTGCTGAAGTACAAAGACATTAAGACCAAGACGGGAATCGAGCTATTGCAGCACCTTATTGAGTATTATCATGCGTTAAGCAAGTGAGTACATCAATATAGTTATGCTATCCGGAGATTATTACTGACATGTGTCCTATCATCTATACAGCTACTTTAAGGACGGCCTCCAGACGATCGAGCACTTCGGCACGTACATCGGCGACCTCAGCGAGAAGCTACATGAGATCAAACAGAAGCAGGACGAGGATCGTCGCAGTTTGCTGGACTTGCGAACAGTTTTGCGCAGTACTCCAGATTTTGAGCGAGTTGACAATGTGCCATCGTCGGAGAGCCGAAGTGGGGGAGCTGGTTACTCCCTCCATCAGTTGCAAGGTGACAAACACCACGGCGTCACTCGGCAAGGTCACCTTTTCAAGAAGAGCGAGGGAAAGGTGCGTCGCGTGTGGCAGAAACGACGATGCCGTGTCACCAGCGATGGCTTTCTGGACATCTTCCATGCCGACGAGTCAAAGCCACCAACACGCGTTAATTTGCTCACTTGCCAGATTAAGCCGGTGCCGGATGACAAGCGTGGATTTGATCTTATCAGCTGTAAGTGAAGCTCCATAAGAGCTGTATAAACTTGGTTCTCCCATCAGTTATACTGAAATTATCATTAATCTTTTCCTTTTTACAGACAATCGCCCGTATCACTTTCAGGCGGAGGATGAAGGCGACCAGAAGGCATGGATGGCCGTCCTGGTGAACTGCAAGGAGAAAGCACTTACCAAGGCGTTCCAGCACGCCAATCCGCAGATGAGTCCAAGTCTGGTGGAATTACAGAAGACTGTGATCCGATATGTACAGCTACTGCCTGGAAACGATCGGTGCTGTGACTGTGGATCGCGGAACGATGTGACCTGGATCAGCCTAAACTTTGGCATTCTGGTGTGCATTCAGTGCTCGGGCGTGCATCGCGACCTGGGCGTACATCACTCGCGCATCCAAAGTCTTACGCTGGACAACTTGACGACGGCTAACCTGTTGATTGCTCGTGCCATGGGCAACAGCACGCTGAACGATATTATGGAGGCGAAACTGGGAAGGGGCAAGCTTCAACACGAGAGCAGCATGTAGGTGTTCTTGGGATGTTAAGGATTTTTTAAAGTGCTTAGTTTCAATTTGTTTTTGCAGGGAAGAGCGCTACGACTTTATTCGCGCCAAGTATGTTGCCAAGCGCTATGTCATGCGCACCTGCTCGGATGACAACGACCTACGGTGCGACTTGGAGCAGGCAGTGGTTAATGCCGACATGAGTCAGTTGCTCCAGGTGTGGGCGGAAGGAGCGGATCTCACTTGCTGTCTGCCCAGCTCTGATGCAGGAGAGACGGCACTTCATCTGGCCGTGCTGCGCGAGATGGGATCCACGCTGCACATAGTCGACTTTCTCATCCAAAATATGCCGCCCAAAGGTCTTAACAAGGCTACCAACCCAGCCGGCCTGCTGGATGTGACGGGAAAGAATACGGCGTTGCATCTGTGCGCTCTTCACGATCGAAGGGAGTGCATGAAGCTTTTGCTCCGCTCAGGAGCGGACTATGAACTCAAGAACTCACAGAACAAAACAGCGCTAGATATTGCCAAAGAAATGGGACACAATAGCTGCAGGGAGCTCGTAAGTCTTATAACATGGATCCACTCAAATGAATATTAATCAGCATTCGTTATACTGTAGATTGAATGTGCCATTAAGCGGGAGAAGAGCGCCTTCGACCACATCAACACTGACTGGAATCTGCCAAACGAGGATGGTTCCACGGATTTCAGCGACGATGAAACAGTCATCGATGAGCGCGTAAGTCGCACATTCCGACTAGCTAAGTTCTATGCTGATCCCTTTTTATTTTGCTTGCAGAAATCCCGTTCGCGTCCCCCCAGTTTTGCTGGCGGGGACTCGCCCGTTCTGCGCTCTCGTTCCTCTACTTGCGACTCCATACAGTCCAGTTCTAGTCCAATCGCCAATTGTCCGAGTCGGCAATTTACTCTACCCTCGGGTCTGCCGAGCTATACACATTCTGCAGGGACTTCGCCCAAACAGCACGTAAATGTGGGACAGTATCTAGGCAGTGCTAGCAATGTTGGAGGTGGTGGGGCTGGGAATGGCGGTTCAAGTCCCAGTTCCGCCTCTAGCCAGAGCGTTCGTGCGGCGAGAAATAGCTTGAATATGCAAAGCGACCTGGGCGGCCATGTGACAGGCGCTCGCAAGTCAACATCTACGGCCAACATGAATTCGCTAAAGAAGCGTACAGCACCAGCTCCACCGCCCGGGACATTGGGCAGTGGCTCGTCGAGCTCTTTTTACGGCACATTGCCTCATCCTCCACGCCATTCGCAGAACTTCGATGCCAGTGACATTCGAGCCATTAATCACAAGAACCAGTCGCTGGACGTTGCGTATGGCACGCTGCCGCACCTTCGAAGCGTAGAAAGCAGTCCTAGAGGCGGAGGTGGATACGGGTATGGAGTGTCACAGGATCCTGGAGGATCTGGAAACGGAAGCAACAACAGTCTTATGCCTGCCATGACTACCTTCGGCCACAAGCGTTCACCCAGCGGTGAGTCGCTGAACAGGAATATCCATTTAGCGGGCGCCAAGCTAGTTCTGCCGCCAACCGGTGAGTTGCCTACGCTAAAGCATGTGGACAAATCGGCGTTAACGAGGCCAAAGATTCCCCCACCAGGACCGCCATCAGGTGAGTATTAGAAGAGCCGTTTAAATGGCAGGGTTTTTAATATTATTATGATCGACAGAGCGTGAAATATCAAACGGACAGTCGAACGAGAGCATAAGTTCCATGGACGAGGGCCCAGTGGCGCCTCCCCGTAAGGTAAGTCCCTCAAGAACGTTGCGTGGGTTATGCAAATGTCCTGTAGATCAACACCCAAACCTTTCTTTGTATTTGATCTAATCCGCACTCGGAAAACAATTTGCAGCGCAAGCAACACATCACTCAATTGAGATGCCAGTCCAGCGAGGAGACGGTAAATGGCAAGCACCACCGCTCATTTGCACTTTTATACAAAGTTTGACAAGCGAACTACGCAATTTAATTGTTGTTCTTGCTGTTGCAGTTGTCGTTTCTCTACTAATTGTCTCGCATTGTGCATCTCTTAAAAGCTCTAACCTTTTACGCCCATACCCACAAATTATGTCAAATCTATAATTTTCTATGTTCAATTAATGTTGCCATCTATGCCATTGCAATTTTCACATTGCTTATGTTTGTCATTTGAAATCTTTCAGCTGGTTAATCAGTCGGCCAATTTCCCCGACTACGAGTCGTGGCATACGGATATGGACAGCTCTGGGGGCGGCCTAGACCATTCAGCCGAGTCGAATGTGTCCTCGAGCGACAACGACCGACTGAATTCATCGCCGGACAATCCGTCGAAAACCGGTGGGGCTGGGCTGGGCGGAAAGTTCCACTATGTAAGGGTTTTAATATACTATCCTTGGTCTTATTAAAGACAAATCCATATCTCTCTTTCCAGAATGGTCAGAGGCGGTGCCGAGCTCTCTACGATTGCGTGGCGGACAACGATGATGAGCTAGAGTTCAAGGAAGGTGAGATTTTGATCGTGCTAAATGAGCGCACCGACGACGAGAACTGGATGGAGGGCATTATTGAGGGACAACCGGCGAGGAAGGGCATGTTTCCTGTCAGTTTCGTGCATATGCTGCCTGATTAATCAATCCCCTGTTTGTGCTGAGTTTGTGGCTGAGCGTGATTGTATATAGATATATATATAGATGTGTGTATGCGTCTTTTAAACTCTAATGACATATATTAATGATTTATTTATTACGGCTATTTTATCACAATGCGTGTGACTATTAATTTGCCTAAGACTAAACATGTAAACGTCTCAAGTAAGTTACTTTTAGCCTAGAAGCCAACTACTCATTTACACTTGTATTTCAATCAAAGCCTTTAAGTAGAGTTCTTCCTGTGCATTTCACGTTGGCTTCCTTCCCAAGGTTAGCGCTTTAATAACTAAATATGTCCTGCAAATGCTGTAATTCGTACCATAACTAGATCTATCTTTATCTTAGCCTAAAACGCTGTGCGCAAAAGTTACTCAATGTCAGAAAAATTGTCAGGAGATCAAATTATGTATTGTATGCTTGTACTTTATGCTGCCATAAACAGATACTAACGATATCCAGACAGGCCCCGACCTGGTCGGGATCTTGGTTTACACTCGTACTCAAGTATTCTAAATCTGTTGTTAATGGTTTGACGAAGAGTTTATAAAACAACGTTGACAGAAATATCAATTTAACCAAACCCAAGCCCAAACTATCCATATTGCGGACATAATTTGAAAGCCACCAATGCTATTATAAAGAAATACGAGCATTTTCGGCAAAAAGGAAAGCAAAAGCCCTTTGTACCTAGAAGTTGTTACCAATTAAGTACCCAATATGTATAAACGTATATAAAAATTACAAACTGCAAGATATCAATTATCGAGATTTGTTTATCACATATGATAATTTTGAAAATTCAAAGTGTATATAATGATTTTTTTAAGACACCACACACCTTTTTCTTTTTACTCATTTTGTATACACGTTTCAGTATTTATTTAGCAAAACCTTAAAACATATTGATATTATATGTAAGTCAAATAAAAGGAAGAACATAACGCTTATTACATATATATACACATATATAAGGTTGTGTTTTTACCAAAAACAATAATCCGTCTGATTTGTTGGGAGTATTAATGGGTATAGGGTAGATGATATAATATTAGGATAGAATAGCGTCTAATGACTCGTCTAATGCTTTATCCCCAACTGTGGGGCTTTCAGCTTGTGGAGGGGTCGGTTCCACTCGCAACTGGTCCATTTTTGTGTAGAATTTCGGACATTTTTGGAGAACATTGGAATATTCCGTGAATATTTGGAAGGAGGCCCTTTGAAGCAGCGTGTCTCCCAAGTGATTGGAGGCGAGTATTTTGGCCAAATTCTTATAGTCCCGCTGCATAAGACAATTCCGGGCCAGTCGAAGTTTCTCGTACGCAGTGGATCGTCTAACGCTGAAGTAAAACTCGTAACTGGCCGGAGGAGCACAAGATGGGTTTTGGTTCAGCCAAAAGCCATCTTCGGGACTGGTGGCGATTTCAAGCGTGCGTTTCAGAACATTTGCGGGTATCCTCCTAGCTGGAAAACTCTCACCATTTATTTTACGCGGTGCATTTTTCAAAGGAGGCTTTTTCTCAGATTTGGTTTTCATTTTATATGGGTTTGTTAAGCGAAGAGTTTCTGGAAATGGAAACAATGTATTTGATATTACCCGTTGTATTACTGGTTGTATTACCCGTTTCCCAATATTTACGTTTAAATTACTTTCGTGGAAAAAACAATGCGTCGTGCTAACAGCGATAAGCAATGTTAATCTGATTAACCCCAATATCGATAAGTACTGATACCCGGTAAGATATCGATTACCAGCCGTCAATCGATGTTTTGATTCGTCCGATATCCTACAAAGCAATATTTTCCGCATGCAACCAAAAACGAAAGATTAAAATGCTGGCTGTGTAATTGTACTTGCGAAGTTGTTTCGATTTTAATAGTCTCCCAGGCGCTGAAGGATCCCAATTTGTCCACCAGGACGCCGTCTGTCGGAAAAACCTACTTCGCAGCCGGAAAATTCCCCAGAAGTCTCTTCGCCTTGAAGTCGCGAGTTGCCAATTTGTTGTCGGCCCCAGTGCAAAAGTAGCAAAAATATTAGGAATATTGCTGGTAACACTTTGTGGGGTACGTATAAAAAAAACCAACTGCAATTCCAGTCCTTAAAGGCGGAGTCTGAAATCAATAATTGATCTGCACGGCCAGGACTAAGCAAAGCCGGTGCGACGGAAGCAGGTCAGGATCAGGCGAACAGGAACGGAGTGGAGTGCCTGCTGGCAGCAGGGGCCCAAAGCTATGAGTGCGGCCAAGAAGTACAAGCCCATGGACACAACTGAGCTGCACGAGAACACAGAGAACATCGCCGCCTGCCTGAAGAAGGCCGAGAACGTCGCCCCCACCGCTGCCGCCGCCTCGAGCCTGGGCCGCAGTGCCTTCGCTGCCCAAAACATGAATTCTGCGTCAACCAACGGCGAGCGCCTGCCAAACTTTTCCAAGCTGGGCGGCAGCCATGGCGAAATCCGCACGGCTTCAACTACCTCAAATCTCCTCAATCGCGTGGGGGCTATTCACAACAGCAAGCCCGGCGATGTCAAGAAGATAGTGATTAAGAATTTTAAGGGTAGGTCCTGTTTAGATCCAAACTATTTTTACACTGCATGATTCAACTTGCTTCCTTAGATAAGCCCACACTGCCCGATAACTACTCCAAGGATACGTACGTGAAGCTTGAAGAAGCCGTAATCGCCATCCAACTCTCCAAGCCCATTAAATATTCGCTGGAGGAGCTCTACCAGGCGGTGGTGAACATGTGCAGCCACAAGATGGATGCGCAATTGTACGCGAAACTCAAGGAGTTAACAGAGCAACACGTAAAGCGCAATATTAAGCTCAAGGAGCTTACCGGCGGCAGCATGGACAAACTGGTATATTGCTGTTTAGATAGAAAAAGGCTCACTTATCTCCTTTTATTGCTTTTTAGATTTTGCTGGAAAAGATTAACCACTGGTGGCTCTCGTTCTGCCAACAAATGATCATGATTCGCAGCATATTCTTGTATATGGATCGAACTTATGTGCTGCAGAATTCGTCCATTCACTCTATTTGGGACATGGGGCTGGACCTTTTTCGCATCCATTTTGCTCAAAACAGCGTTGTCCAAAAGCGAACCGTCGACGGTTTACTAACGCTTATTGAAAAAGAACGACAAGGCTCTACCGTGGACCGCGGTTTGCTGAAGAGTTTGGTTCGCATGTTATGCGACCTGCAAATCTACACCAGCTCCTTTGAGGAGAAGTTCCTCGACGCAACCAACCAATTGTATAAGGCTGAGAGTCAACGCAAGATGCAGGAACTAGAGGTTCCTGAGTACTTACAGCACGTCAACAAGCGTTTGGCAGAAGAGAACGAACGTTTGCGTCACTATCTAGACTCAAGCACCAAGTATGCTGGCGTTATTAAAAAAAAGCATTTATTAATGTATTTCTCGCAGACATCCGCTGATTTACAATGTGGAAAAGGAGTTACTCGCCGAACACCTAACGTCAATATTGCAGAAGGGCTTGGATTCATTGTTAGAAGACAACAGACTGAGCGATCTCACGCTTTTGTACGGGCTGCTTAGTCGAGTGAAAAATGGAACATCTGAGCTGTGCGGCAACTTCAATGGTTTCATTAAGGTATGCATTTATTCTTAAGTAAATAAAGTTATTAAAAAATACCTTTCTTTTAACCAATGTAGAACATAATAATATAACGCATCAAAATCCCTACTTTCAGAAAAAAGGACGCACCATTGTCATTGATCCCGAGAAGGATAAGAGCATGGTCCAAGATTTGCTTGATTTCAAGGATAAAATGGATGTGATTGTTCGCACCTGCTTTGAGCACAATGAGAAATTCACAAACTCGTTGCGCGAGGCCTTTGAGTTCTTTATCAACCAACGTGCCAACAAGCCGGCCGAGCTCATTGGTAAGCCCCCCGTGTACTTACTATATTGGAGTTTGATAAACCTTATTCTTCCACTAGCTAAATACGTAGATATGAAACTGCGATCAGGCAACAAGGGAACCACGGATGAGGAGTTGGAAAAGACTCTAGATAAAATCATGGTTCTATTTCGTTTTATACATGGCAAAGATGTCTTTGAAGCGTTTTACAAGAAGGTTGTGCCAATCCGTTGCATATTGACAAATTATTAATGACTAATACCCTTTTAGGACTTAGCCAAACGATTACTTGTGGGCAAATCGGCATCAGTGGACTCCGAAAAGAGCATGCTGTCAAAGCTTAAGCAGGAGTGCGGTGGTGGTTTTACGTCCAAGCTGGAGGGCATGTTTAAGGACATGGAACTGAGCCGAGATATCAACATTGCGTTCCGCGGACACGCATTAAGCAACAACCGCGATGTCCACAACTTGGACTTGTGCGTCAGCATTCTGACCATGGGGTACTGGCCTACATATGCGCCTACAGAGGTCACAATGCCGCCACAGTTCATTAATCCGCAGCAGATTTTTAACAAGTTTTATCTAGAAAAGCATAGCGGGCGAAAGTTGCAGTGGCAGCCTACATTAGGGAATTGTATGCTGCGTGCTCAGTTCGATGCGGTAACTAAAACGGCTCATAATGTTTCTTATGCGGTTGCAATTCTTACGTTTGTTTTACAGGGTCCGAAAGAATTGTTGGTCTCGCTGTTTCAAGCCCTTGTTCTTCTATTGTTTAATGATAAGCCAGTTCTAAGCTACGAGGAGATATTGGCCGCCACCCTAATCGAGGATGGAGAGTTACGTAGAACACTTCAGTCCCTGGCTTGTGGACGCGCCCGCGTCATAACAAAAACACCGAAAGGCCGCGAAATTTTGGATGGCGATCAGTTCGACTTTAACAATGAGTTCACAAACAAATTGTTTAGAATCAAGATCAACCAAATACAGATGAAAGAGACAGTAAGTGCCTTGACTTTTGATGATATTCCCAAAAACTTAATAATATACCTTTTCTATTAGAATGAGGAGCAAAAGGCGACGGAGGAGCGTGTATTTCAGGATCGCCAGTATCAAATTGATGCGGCTATTGTGCGCATTATGAAAATGCGGAAAACGCTCAGCCATAATCTTCTCATCACCGAGCTGTTCAACCAGCTTACCTTCCCCGTCAAGGTGCGTTCACTAACCCTTTTTATTTTCGATAGCAAGAAGTTAATAAGTTTGTTGGTATTCCAGCCCGCTGACCTTAAAAAGCGAATCGAGTCGCTCATCGACCGCGACTACATGGAGCGGGACAAGGATAATCAAAACCAATACAACTATGTGGCATAAATGGCCTCGTTTTCTGTGAAATCCGAACACCGATTCGATTGTAATTCGTTCTATACCATACACATACATACTAGCAGTTTAATTAAGTTTTTGGAGTGTCCTGGTCCGATCGGGGATATTCAGAAAGTTTTTCAGCTGTAATTTTGTTTCTTTAACTAAATCGTTGAACAATCCGCCAGCTAGTAGTGTGTTTGCGACAGTTCTTTTTGTAAGTTACCTTATCACACAATAAATTAAGCGTTTCATTTACAAGCCGCGTCCCGTGAAGTAGGTTGTCGCTCCCTGAAAGTCGATACCTTCAGCAATTTAAAAAGTTTTCGAACCGAAAACAAACTAAGTGTTCAATAAACTTATTTATTGGACTAATTCTAATATGTATACTTTTAATGGTAATTCTCCTTCAACTAACAATAGAAGTGACATTTGCAGGCTAATTTTCTAAAGGAAATATTAAAATAATTATAACTCGTACTAGTAGCTCTGTATGCAAAAGAGATATGCATAACTTAATAGTTTTTTATTTACCATAAATAAAAAATTACGTGAAAATAATGCACTTCGTGTTTCATTTGTAAAATATTAGCAGCATGACTGCCTCGAAAAATTAGCGTCGAGCCCTTTGTTAAGCATTTACCAAAGGAATATAGTATATACAGTTACACAAAAAATTGGGAAATTAGGTAGATGTAGATTATAAACAGATCAGAAATAAATATTGGGATCGCGTTTGCGTTCGGGGGTCATATTATAAATGACATTGAGGCTGGTTTAGGTATCACAAATTGCCTTGGTGTTATCCTCCTGTCGTTCTTTCGTATGTAAATCAAAGCTGCCAACTTGCAAAGTTCTCAGTGGCTTTCGTAGATATTTTACAAAAATATTTGTAGTATCTCCCATTTACGCCCCAACACTGTTGACGCTGTATTGTGAGCTGTCGTACTCGGACACGCTGTCAGAGCCATAGCCCCCAAATCCTGCCACTGAGGGTCGTACACTGCTGGTCCTTACCCCATTATCTTTTAGCACATCGGGCACGTATATGGGTGCCGGACCGGCAATTTCCACGATGCTCGGGCGTCTCGTGGCCGCACACCGCTTAATTGGTGACATAAAGGTGAACAAAGTCAGGGTGATAGCTAGGCTGATGATAAGCAGCAGGAACCGAGCCATTCCGTTCTCGCCGCGGAAGTAGCAAATCATGGCCATGACCAGCACCAAGATCACGACCGAGAACTTGGTCATCGTAACTGCCGTGGAGTGGATCTTACCACCCTTTCGTGATATCATGTTTGACGGCCCGTAGGCAAAGTAGAGGTTGTGGCGATCCACGAAGTGTTTTAGGCTGATGTAGATCATGGCGAAGGGCATGATCAGTGGACAGGCTACGCTATATACAATGGCTATAGTAAAAACGAGCGTTGTCCAGGCGTAGTGCGTTCCGAAAGGAAACTCGATTAGTATAGCCTTGCGAATGTACGGCGTCTCAGCCTTGGATTTAGCCTTTAGCAATGACCAGATGTACACAATCAGCTCCGGGAAGCGTAGCAGCTCCAACGCAGTACCAATAAACGCAGCCGTAATGATGTAGTTCACATAGAAGGAGCCGCGTTCAGGCAAGAAAACGCACTGCCAACGATCAGCCTGATTTGTGAATCCCCACTCTAGCAGCGCCTGTGCCGATGTCAGTCCGAGGGAAGGCAGAATCAAGATCATCATAAGCAGATAGCCAAAGCACTTCGTCATGATTGAGTAGTTCTGCTTGGAGCGCGTGTAGTGCCGCATCCACTTGTCCGAAATAGCAACAATCACGGGCATCAGTGCCGATAGGGTCCAGAGCATCAAGGTGGGCAGGAAGTCGGCAACGAGCGGAGAGATCTTGCCCTCCGTTTCCTTTACCCATGGTCGACTGTTTAGAAGGCTTACCACCATGGCCGGCGTGGACAAGAAGAAGAGAACAAGGAATAGCACTGTATTCACGCAGAAGAACTTTAAGTACCAGTGACTCTTATTCACATTCAAGTTCTCCCAAAAGAGGTCATCAGGCGACGGAGCGAACACCAAGTGCCATTGACGGTAGGTGCCCGGTGTAAAGTGGGTTACAATGTTCTGGGCCTCCTGTACAGTGGACACGGTGATAAACGCAACGTCCAGGGGCTCATTCATGGCTGAAGCACGCAGACGGGCAACATCGCCGGATAACTTGCGCTCCTCTCGCTGGTAATACTCGTAGGCGTTCTCCTTTTTGCAGGAACACATGTCTGGTTTGGCCTATAATAGACTGTGTGAATCGGATTCTCTACAAGTTTGAAGGATATGAACTTACCATAAGAGTATCCCTATTCCTATGCTGTTCGCAGTACAATCGTGCTTCGTGAACTCGCTCGAACTCGGCGTTCCTCACGTAAAGTCTTGAAATGTTGTACGCTATGGACACATTTTCGATGGTGACGTCCGGAAAAAGCTCCTGCATATAGTTCCGTACCACAGTCTTGTTACGATCGCTAGAGGATATGTTTGAAATCATAATAGTGCGGGTGGCTGCCTTCTTGAAGGCATTCCGTCCCGAAGCTCGCCGCATGATAAGTACTACGAGCGGAATGTACAGTATCGTGATGATCGTGTGCACCCACAGCCAAGGCGACTCCGGCGAGAGATTCGCCATTGTGGTGCGGCCGAAGGCATTCACATCATACGGATTTTCCTTGGGACCATTCAGGAAGTTGACAGGCAGGATGATGACTAGCGAGACGATGGTAACCAATGCCATTACAGCCATTAGGTGCTGCTGAAAGGACAGGTAGTGCACGGCATCGGGTCCAGTATGCAGCAGAATGGTCTCCTTGCGCAGTTTCAGCGTAACCCGTATCCAGCCAAAGAGACCCTCCTCCGGCTGGATGGGGGATAAGGGCGTGGAGTCGGCAATTCCTTGGGAGGTGGCACTTGGCCTCGGCGTCACCTGCGTTGAAGTGCTCGGCTGGGGATCGACCACACTGGCGGCTCGCGAGTAGAAAATCTCCGTCCAGCGCTTTTTGCTGCCATTGCTGTTGACCAGCGCCAGACGTCCAAAGTCACCTGCCTGGTGTCGCAGAGTCGTAAACAAAAGGATCAGGAGAACCCAAAAAATTGTGTTGAGTATAAGGGTTTCCGGAATGCCATTGTAGGCGGTGGTAAAGAACGAAGTGCGATTGGCCACCGCCTGACAGTAGGAAATGTTGTTGTTATCAGACATGACCATGAATCACTGAAAAAACAAAGAAACCAGAAGCTATAGTGCATTTGAAAACACTGATTCAGAATCAATAAGAGCCCAGCTGATCGGGGTTTCTCCGATGCAATTTCTTTTTGTTTGTATATTGATAAGTCCGTGGGAAAATCTAAACTTTTTATTCTACCAGTGCCAACTGTTCGGTTTCCTGCACGCCTCCCACACAGATTAATCTTTTGGGTCGCTCGGGCAAACCAAACAAAGTCAGCAGACCACAGATACCGATGCTGGTCTCGAAGGCAATGTGCCCACAGATTAACCCAATTAGAACTAGAAGATACTGTATCTTTATGGACGAAGCCAGAAAGAGCGCCAACAAAGGCGTTATAAATCAAGCTAGTCTTAGAAATGAGATAATGGGGGATCAAACATGTTTTTGTTGGCATGAGGCAACCTGGAAGGGGTTGGTTGTTAGTGGGGGGAGGAAGCACTACGTCATGTTAGTCCACCTCCACCACCTTTATTTTGGCTTTGTTTTCGAAATGAATCATCGTTAATCTATTTTCGGCTTGGTATGTCGCGTGGCAAATGTGCAAAATGCAATAAAAGAAACGCACTAGTCGCATTTACTTATTTCATTACTTTTCACTGGCTAAATGGCATTGTATTTGTGTGTTTCTGCTTTCATTGCACTGCGATTACCAAACTTTCCACACCATACCTTCGGTAAAATGTATTATTCTCAGTGACTTGTTTTTCGTAGCTTCACACTAAACATCAGCCATGAATATCCTCAATTGTTGTCATCAATAAAATCAACTTTGTGTCGTACAAAATTATATGGAATAATTGCCTTTCGCTCCTTTACTGCATGTAACTGCCAGTTACCGATAACTCACTGTTAAATATCGATTGTCAGCATTAGAGGTAGTCGTGAGCAGAAACCTTATATTAAATATTAATTGTTTTGAATAATAAAAAAAAATATATATATATATAAATAAAAAGATGATTTAAATAGGTATTTTTTTAATATATTCAACATATTAATGGGATATATTGTGGTCAGGAAATATCATCACTAACAAGTCTAAGAATCGTATACGATGCAGCCCTGTGCTTCAGTTTTTTAGAATTTTAATGGTTTTTAGTGCTCTACTGTCCTGTTCACAATTCTTTTAGGTATGTCAAATTGACATTAATATACGACTTTTAGTTCCTTTTAACGTTGCCTCTTACAGACAAAGAAAATTTTGTTTCAGACTTTTATAAGACTTGAACCGGCACTTACCCACCAAATCTTAACCATGCAACGTGCACCACCAAAGGAGTTGAACTTCAAGACCCAGCTGCTGTCCGGCAAAAATGTTCTCCTGGTGGAGAGTCCTGGTTACGAGAGCGAGCTGTTCATGCCGCAAATCGTCGGGGGGCGAATCACCTTGCAGAACGTTATACCAAATCGCAGGTGCTGTCCAGAGAGCAGGATGTTGTCGGATCCCTTGATGGGCGACATGGGCTCCAGAAAAAGGACTGTGAAGAGTCCTACACGGCGCTCCTTTGCCGCCGTCAATCTCGCAACCCCAAAGGCCAAGAGCACCCCGATAAATAATTCGTCTCTTAGAACTCGGGCTGGTAAGGAAAACGCCGTTCCGCAGCTAACGCCAGAGAGGTTGCGCTGCCGACCCTTTCACTTACCTTCAGATGGGGAGATGGACATAGACGAATTATCATGCCAGGAGCAGGCACCTGGGAGCCTGTCATCCTCCAAGTCTATGATGTCAGCTTGTACAAATAATAGTCTTTCAGAGATTGAGGTGTTATCGCCAGTGATTTCAAGCAAGAACGGCTCCAATGTCCATGCTAACGAATTGGGCCGTAACAACTTTACGCCCTTAAGCATTTCTGAGACAAGAATCCCACCGCCAGTCATGCCAAAAGAGAACGTAATCGAACAGAACCTTCAAGCGATGGAAGTCGTCCACAGCAAGTCTAAACCCAAAGTATCCGCCCTACGGACATATTCTCGTAAAAAACCGGGCACCGCCAGCAAAGCAAAACCGACACCCGTGTGGTCTCCTCTTCAGAAGAAGAAAAAGAACTCGTCGGTATCATCCACCAAGGTGCCGTCTCCCACCATGAAGATGGAAGTGCGTTATCGAAAATTGATAGTTGACACCAAGAAAACGCTAGCTGCCAATGATCCTAGCAAATTGTCTCCAGGGCCTATTACAATGAAGAAAATCATAAGGAAGCAAGTGACAGGAAAGACACGAAAGCAATTTGAAGCCCTCAAAGTCACTGCCTTTGACTTATTAACCAATTTGTGTGTGGGCAACATTTCCGAGGATCTGGTCAAGCAATTCCAGAAAGCCTGTGCGAACAGGGTTTGCACCACCTTGCCCAATTACGCAGAGATCGCAGTTGTCCCGCCGCTGGAAATGGATCGAGAGGTGACTGCAATAATGGCCAGGCAGAAGCGGATGGAACGGGGGAGCCAGAGACCAAGGAGCGCTATACCGCTGGATAGCAATCTAGCGTAGAGGCTAATTTTTTTTTAAGATGATCTCGATGTATTTGTTCTATCATCCAGAGAGAAGTGCAAATGCATGTATGCTCTTGTCATTCGTATTAAACATAGAATACTTTAAAATTCATGCTTTGATCTCCATTTATGATTACAAGTATTATACATTTACCAAAAAGGAACACATTTTGTCTAGTTATATGTACAGTTCTACCTTAAGCTAGCCTAGGAGAGCCTACACTAACAGCAAATAAAAATATGACTTTGTACGACGGGACATCTTTGTGATTAGGCCGCTTGGTTTCTAAGAGGTGCGGCACCGAAAGCAGGCCTTGAATGCCCGCTTGATCGCCCGAATGTTGTGAACGACCTGCTCCTGCAAGGAGAAAAGTGCGTTAGAAACGATATTGGGGATATTTCTGTTTAATTTACCTGCATCAAATTGAAGCACATGGCAATGACGGCCATGCCGAGCAGCAGATATATGGCGCAGAGAATGAAGCTGACCTCCACCTTATCTCTGTCGGCGGTTATCTACCAAAAGCAAAATTAGTTGAAGATTTTAGGTATCTTTTCAGAACGCATACAAGTGTGTGTAAGGAATAATAATATAATATTAATCTTTAATCAATATCTTTGCTTTTAGAATGACAACTAATAAAACTTCACATTTACATGCGAGTTCGACAAGGCGCTGAAATAAATTGCATCTATGAATATTCATACCACACGATCGCCTGGCACCAGATCTCCAAATCCAATGCTGCTGAGCGATATGAGGCAGAAGTAGCTCCCATCCAGGTAGTTCCAGTCTTCCCAGCGACCAAAAAGGAGCGCTCCCCAGAGGATATACCTGTAATTATAAGGACCCCTTAGAAGTTCGGATTTGACCAAAGGAGGGAGACACTTCCATACCCGACCATTACGAAGACGCACACAGTGACTGGCACTGTAATCTCATCCGTGCTGCCTCGTATTTCCCGCTCGATATCCGAGTCAGATTCGGTGTAAGGAATATCTACGAGGCTGGAACTCTGCCGGGAACTCCTTGTGTATTCACTACTGCTGCTGTTGGAGGAGGTGGCACTGCTGGTGCTAGAGTAGCTGCTGCTTCCCCGGGCATTCTCCATGTCATGCATCTGGAGCTGCGCAGTCAATACCCAAAATCAGTGAACATTTTTTTGAGTGTTAGGTATTTCAACCCACCGCTCTGGCCAACTGTCGCATTTTTCGTCTTTCGCGGATTATACGGCGCTTGGCCACGCCGGGGCAAATGCGACACAAGCACACCTTTGAGTAAATCCACTTGAAAGATTTGGCCAGGACGTCGCCAATGTTGGACAGGTAGAGCAAGAACAGCGGCATGCCAATTATGGCATACAGAATGGTCACCAGCTTTCCCCATTCGGAGTGCGGCGTAATGTTCCCGTATCCGATCGTCGTGATCACCGTCAGCGAGTAGAGAAAGGCTCCGGAGAAGCTCCACTGCTCCACGTCGGGTCCCTTGAGCTGCTTCTTCACTATGGCCCTCTGATAATCCAGAAGTACGTCGTTGACCCTGCCGCGATAAGTTTGGGCTTACGGCATTCTAATACCAAATAGGTTGCTCAAGTATAGAACACCTGGACGACTTACCGTCTCCTGTAGGCGTGGTGGTCGAAGAAGCTTATGTTCTCCGCCGTCAGCTCCCATATGCGGCTGAGGCATTCGCCGCTAAAGTTCCGTGCTACAAAGCGGTGCGGTTTCTCCGACTTCAGCCGCTCGTACTCGAATATCTCGATGCGCTGGAATATGAACGCTCCGCCGATAATATAAAATGTGACCAGTAGAATGATGCCCACGTTGCTGAACATGAAAGCCGTGAAGTGGCGGCAGTGGTCCTTGAAGCGCTCAAAGGCCGGCTTCTCCTTCCGGCGGAAGGAGCTTCGTTGGGAGGACATGTCTTCGCGGTTCGTTTCCGTTTCGGTCCTAATTCCGGTTCCGGCTGGCCTTCCACTGGCGAGCGCCTGGACATGCTCGGGTTTGGTCCGGCACTCGCATTGATGACGTCTGAAAGGATTTCCGGCTACCTATCGCTGGAAATATCCACAATTAGTTTACCGAATCGCCAGTGCAGAGTGGTAAATAAACAAGTTGCTACATTATCAAAGTGTTTGGCGGCATAAATCTTCTTAAATAAAATGTATGCGTTGCTTCTGTTTGTGTGGGTGGTTTATTTTCATTGTTTGGGATTATCGTGAAATATACGGCCTCAAAGTCGCAAAAATGTATATCAATTCCTGCTGTAATAATTATATGTTTAACATACATTTAAAACAAAATTTTAAACCAACTTTTCAATTTTATAAATCCTAATTCACCATTTGATAATGTTTTCAAAATAAAGCATTCACTTTAAATTGACATTAATTGACAAATGGTTGCGTGCAGGAATTCAAAATCCATAAATAAGCTCAAAAATCCCATTCGAAAATATATACTTTTGGGCCATTAAAATAATTGATTATATTTTATTTCCACTTACTTGCGCTGATTACTTGTTGAAATTTCTAAAACTGCATGTAACTCATGCAAGGTGACGGTTTGCGGGCATTTTTGGGAGCATCGAATATTTCGCCTAGCAGCATGAATGGGTTTTTATTTTTAATACAGTGTTCTATGCTCTCTAATAAATGGCCAACATGAACATGAATTATTGGACTACAATCTTGGCAGCTGGCCTATGGAACAGTCACATCATCTCGTCTCATCGCGACTCATCTCATCCCATCCCCACGGATCGTTTGTGTGTGGTATTTCAAATTTCTCGCGTGGCCGGAGGATGACACTCGTCTAGATTCGAGAATTGATGGCGTAGCCGTGGCGTCAAATTGGAAAGTTTCTAACGATCCGATGCGGCGTCTGCGGTTGCCAAACGCAGCGTTGTTGTTTGTTTTCCGTCTTTTTTTTAGGGTTTTATTTAGTGGGTGTGAAATACGAGTTCATTGGGGATTATTTTTATAAACTTCTGTTCTGGACGGGACCGACAGTCATTCGCTTGATTTGTGGCTGCTGAAATTCCGCGGATCCACGCATCCACGGATCTGGATGGCCTTGGAATCCACCTGCCCATCTGCCCACCTAACGCACCTCATTCGCCCGCCCAGCATATTGGGGGATATCTGGCAGGTATGTAGATACATATATCTTCATTGATTTGCTCAATCTCGCACGCACTCTGCCAGCGGGCATAAATTAAATTTGATTTTCAATTGATGTCTGCCTTGCTTATACATAATTAAAAAATACAAACACAAGCAAATATGTACAAACTAAAAACTGAGGCCTGCCAGCCTGTGTTTGCAATGAAAATACACAAAACCAAGGAAGGAAAACACATTAGCGGATCATGCTTTTCACAGGGCGATTCCGCGGAGTATCTGACATAAAAAACATGCCCCACTGTTTATATTTTGAATGCAATTAAGCCACGAGAAGGACGGACACGGCGATTCTGGCCAAGACTGAGCGCATTTTGTGGCCGGCACTTAAAATGCACTTCGGGCGAGTTTGCCGGGATATTTTTGGCCAGCGGCAGTAAAGCCATTTTCCGTTTTGCCGTACACTCATTAGCTCGAAATGTCTGTTTCGCCTAGCATCGGAATTTTCAATTATAATTGCTCCGAAAATTTCCAAGACGTCCTAACTCGAATCCGCAGATTACCGAAAAGATCAAAGCGGTAGGCGCAGGAAACGACTGGCCAATGCTAATGTAATGTGTTTAGATCTTTCTCAGAAAGCGGTTCCACGGGCAACAAGAAGAGGGATAGAATAATTCAATTTATGTAGGTTCTGTAAATATCCTAAGTGTGTTGTTTCAATATTTTGCTCGGCCACTTGAGTTGCCTTTTAGTTAGACACTAAGTTGCGTCATATCTCTCGGGTTCTGTTTACGCCAGACATGACTGCAGTGATTGGAGCGCACTTCCCTGCTACATTTTCATGGACGGGGGTAACCTCGTTGCTACACCACTGCCAAGTCCTCAGCCAATCTGGGGTGTCAGTTGTCAGTCATTGCTCATCATGAGACCTGCTACCCTGGCCAAGTACTATGCCATGCAGGTCCTTCGGCCAACACACTTGCACAATTAATTCTCAGCGCTTTTAATTTGCCACGCCAAGAGGAAAACTGAAAGCAGAATTGTTTAAATCTGACAGACAGCCCCAGAATGTTAAGTGTCAGCGGCTACACGAGAGGAGATTTAAAAATTTAATTACGCTGAAAATGCGGTGACAATTGCGGGGCGAAAAGCTAGCTGGCTGGTATGGAAAAAAGAAATTACGGCGACGACATCATCGCCATCGCCATCGCCATCGCCACACATTGATGACCAGCACCCCAATTGACATGACAGATCGGCACAGAAAATGTACGATTCGAAAACTAATTTTCGAGCATTGACCGCAAATTTGGAAAATTGGTGGCGTATCCGGTTGCTTTCTTTGCTTGTTTTCGGCGGAAAAACTAGTTTTTAATAGATTCATCGGCTCTTTACCTGGACGAAGTCAGACAAGGAAAGTCGCGACTATCCGAATATAGTTTTGAAAATTGAACTGCTGTTTATTTATTAAAATATTATTTTATATTTGCTGGAGACCTCTTAAATGGTCCACTTAGAAACTGGAAATTATTAAAAAGGTTATTGACAGGAGGAAAATGTAGGAATCCTTTTGAATTCAATCGCAATTCTAATTGATTTATGGGATCTGGATAGTAAAAAACTATTTACATAAACGAAACCCTAAAATCATATCAATATTTTTCGAAACAGCACCATATTTATTCTCTGCTCACTCTTTTCACATTGATTTATGTTTTAAAATGATATATTTTTGGTGAAGCTTTTTTGGTAAATGGTCCAGCGACACCATTCATTTTTAAGGCGGCATTGCAGTAGTAAAATCCATTTTGTGGTCATTGTAAAGGATCACGAACCTGTTTATCGTTTCGGTTTGTTTCGCTGCTGATGGTGGTGCTACTGATGCTCCTCGCCAGATGCTCAACCGTGACGTCATGAGCGGCGGACGGGCGGCTGTTGTGATCGTTGTTGTTGGAGCTGCGAACGCTTCGTTTATTTTAGCAGCTGATGTATTTGCGAGCTATGCATGTGGAATATTATTTATGTTTGCGCGCTCTGTATATTATTTTATCAGTGTTATTCAACGCGCGCCAAGGAATGCCTTCTACCAGCTACCTTAGAGATTTTCCCGACACTTTTCCGATCCCGATTCCGGCTGATCTGCACAGAACAACTTCTTGGTTTGTTTCGCGTGCCTTGTTTATTTATAACCGAACCACACTTCACCTCACTTCATTTGGCCACCGCCATCTCCGCCCGTTTCCCGATGCCGAATGCGATTTTGGAGCAAGTGCCTCATCCGCCGGCCGTGCGTGCTGCTCGACGTTCCGCTGCCCACTGAGAACCGTACTCGCACCCGTATTTATAGACGGCCATATTGACGCGTTACCTGTGACGTCGCTGCGTTCTACCGTTGGATTCCGAATGGGGATCGGGGATCGGCGATCTTTTGGAAAGAGAGGAATCCCTCTCTGAGGTAGCCGATCGCACCGACTTTATAATGTCCTATAATTAAGATTTTTTAAATATACACCACCTTCACGGTGTTTGCGATAGATGATGTCAGCAATATGTGAAATATTTAAAAAATGTAATTTGTACATTTTTAAATATATACATATTTAATATAGCGGTTTTGTGAAATGCAATTCAAATCAGTTTTTATAATCAGATTATCATTTATATTATTATTATTATATTTATATTATCAGATAAAACCTAGATGTTTTCGAGTTATATTCGATAAAAAACGCCATTTTTGATAAGAGAGCATTTTAAGCTTTTGATTACGCAACGCAAATTTCGTTCACAATAAGATATGCCAAGTATCCAACATGCAAAGAAATCTTAATTTGGATGAGATCCTACTAACAACATATTTATTTTAAATTTCCAGAGATAATCTCCAGTCAAAGAGTCGTGCCTACTTAATCTTGGACTTGAAGCCGTTCTCCATTAGCAACGCCACATCCTTGGTATCGCGGTTTCTCGTCTCCGGAAGATATCGGCAGGTTAATAGGAACCCGTAAGCACAAAACACCACACATAATAGGAATACAAATGGTCCAATCGCCGAGTTCACGGTGGGGAAGATCATGCTAAGAACGAAGTTGGCCAGCCAGTTGAAGAAGCTTCCAAAGGCCATCGCCGAAGGACGCGATGGCGTCTCAAAAATCTCTGTGGGATCGGAAGATATAAGCAATACACCGGTTACCACCGCGGATTTCAACCTGAGCCAATGAAGTAGGGAATGGGCCCCAGACCCATGTTGAATGTGATGATGTACAGCGACAGAAAGGCGATGCAGGCGAATGAGAACTCACGTATGGTTAACTATGGGTAGATAAAGAGGATATCGTGTCAAAATATAAAAACCTAAAGGGCAGCCAAATGAGGTCACCATTAGTTTTAGGCCCACGACAAGTAGGGTCAGGAAGATGGCAGAGAACAGGCAGGAGATCGTCATCATAAGGCGTCTGTTAAAGCTTTTCATTAGCCACGGTCCCAAGAGGGAGGACATGAAGTTCAAAAGTCCCAAGGAGAAGTTGAGCCACATAGCTACTGCTGCAGTGAATCCGGATTGGGTGAAGATCTCTATGGAGTAAAACCATATCTGTCAAATTGGAAATGGTCAGTAAATATCTGTCGTTATGAGTTATATATTTGTATTTAATGTAGCCCACCGAACTAATGCCGCTCATCTGCTGGACAAAGTGGAAGGAGCAAACGATGATCAGCGGCAACTTGAGCCTACTGTTACACAGCACCTCCTTCATGGTGACCCGCTTACGCTCAGCCTCAGAGGTGACTTCGAACTCCGCCATCTCCGCGTTCACACGTCCCTCATCCCGCCGCAGGCGCATCAGCGTGACCCTGGCCTTCTCTCTCCGGCCCTGGGACATCAGGAAGCGCGGACTCTCGGGGAACCAGAAGATGGGTGCCAGTCCGATCAAGACGAAAATGGCGGAACCGGAAAGCGCGTAGGGCCACAGTTTCTCCGTGCCGAGAAGGAAATCAAAGCTAAAGACCTGACCCAAAACAATGCCGCCGGTTATCCCAATGCAAGTAAAGACTCCCACGCTGCCACTCAGCTCTGCCGGAGCCAACTCCACCAAGTACATGGGTTGCGTGGCGTAGACCAGAGCGGCAGCCAGTCCTGCGATCAGTCGCCCCAGCAGCAGCATCTCTATTGAGTTGGCCATCCGACAGAAGAGCTGGCAGATGCAGGACACCAACAAGAGCAATCCACTGAGCGTCAGAATCCCTCGACGGCCTAGCCGGGCACTAAAGATCGGGGCAAACGGAGCGCCGAGCATGCCACCTATCAGGAATATGGAGACCACCGCCGACATCATTATGGTCATCTGGGAGTCGCCCAGCCGCGATGAGTACCGCGTTAGAGCCGATTCCATTATCCACGACCTTATGAACTGGACATGCCTTTCAGTCGGGACTATTGAGTACAACTCCTCGATTTACTCACGGCATACGGAGCATTCACCACGCCGAAGGCATACCCAACTGGGATGACGGTGCCCACGGTGATGCACACACATATGAGCATCAGAAGGGCCGTCCAGCCCTGTTTTCCCTCGGCCATACCGAAATTTATGGTGGTGTATCTGCTTCGATCTCAATGTATTTTCATATTACTTTGTAATGATTTAACCAAAATGTTGACAGCCTAGACCAACAAATTACTAAAGCATACTTATAGGCTATTTAATTCTGTCAAATTTAGACTCACTTTTTTAATAAATATTTAAATGCAGACGTCTTACCAATATCGGGGTCACCAATAGTAGCTTCGGGTGCCTCTTCTAAATTATTGATCAAGGCTTAGCATGACTTGCAAATCAACTAAACTACTTACTTCTCAGTAAATATCTTTCCGTTAGGACTTCATCTCCTACATGGGGAATTCAGATTTATATAGAATATATGTATATTTAATAGATGTCTTTAGAAAGTGCTGTAAACAGTATATGTTTTTTAAGAAAGCCCAGCTTGTTTATTTTATGTGGAAAGGTACATGCCACTTCCGTTCCGCTTGGAGGAAAGCCCATGGCTCATTAGCAGCTTGACATCCTTCGGCTCCCGGCCACGTGTCTCTGGCAGGTAACGCCAGGTGAGCAGAAGGCAGTAGAGGCACACGCACATGCACGGGATGAAGGCAAAGGAGCTCCAAACACTCTGCAGCAAAGGAAAACACATACCCACGAGGAAGTTTCCGATCCACGAGAAAAGGCTGCCCATGGACATGGCCACAGGACGAGGCGAATCCTCGAGGAGCTCTATTAAAAATGTAAAAAAAATTATAAGCTACAAGTGTTGTCTTTGTTTCGCTCTACAAACCTGAGCCTATGAAGTAAGCGATTGGTCCCAGCCCCAGCTGGAAACCCAGGATAAATGTTAAAATGAAGGCGGCACAAAAGTAGGTGAGGACCGTGCTCTCTGATCTCTCCAAGAAGAATAGCCCCAGGGACATGGCAAGCAGGGCTAGAGCACACATAGAGCAGGAAATCATCATTAGAGGACGGCGCGGAAATCTGCGAATTAGAAGTGGTCCCAGAAGGGAGGTGCACAGATTAAAGCTTCCTATTCCCAGATTTAACCAAGTGGCTGCCCCGTCAGAGAAACCCGCATTAGTCAAAATGGAGAGCGAGTAGAAAAATATCTGCGAGAAAACCAGAAATAAACACAAAATCCAATATGAGACATACGTGTATTACTCACAGCATTGATGCCACTAAGTTGTTGGGTGGCCTGGAAGGAACAGACTAGCAGGAGTGGTAGCCACAGCTCCCTATTCCTTAATACCGAGCACAAAGAACTTGCTTCGGAGCTGGACTTGGCCTCGAGAGTGGCCTTCAGTTCAAGCAGTTCCTGATGCACTTCCTCCTCTGCATTTCTTCCACGCAATCGCAACAGAGCTTTCTCACTGCCGGCCGAATCCTGTTTGTGCAAGTAGAGCCACCGCGGGCTCTCCGGAAACCACCAAAGCAGCAGCAGCGATGGTATAACCAATAGGCAGTAGAAACTCAAGGCATAAGGCCACAGTCGTTCGCTCCCCAGCAAGTGGGACAAAGTGACCACCTGGGCGAGCAGGATACCACCAGTTACGCCGATGCAGGTGAACACTCCGACGCTGCCACTGAGCTCCGATGGAGCGGACTCCAGCAGATACATGGGCTGAGCTGTGAAGATTAGAGCGGACGCGATGCCCCCTAGAAAGCGACCAGTCATCAGCATTTCCAGGGATTTGGCTGCACGACACCAGTTGAACAGAATGCCGGAAACAATGAGGAGCATGCTACTGATCACCATGCATCCCTTACTGAAAAGAACACAGGGATTTGTAATTTATTCTTCTTATATAATGGAATCCTTTGAATTGGATGGGAAAATGGGACGCCAACTACTTTTCTCTTAGAAGCGTTAAATACTTCGACGAACACTCTATATAATATGGAAAGAATCCAATCAAAATGTTGTATAGAGCTCTTACCGGCCGTATTTATCGCTAACCACAGCGCTGAAGAAGGATCCGCAGATGCCTCCAATCAGGTAGATGGACACAATGCTGGTCCATAGTATATCTAGCTGGCCGGCAGTGACGATGGTGTCGTATTCGGCCGCCAGAATGTCCTGGCACCACTTTTTTATAATCTCGGCTGGGGCATTGAGAACCCCGAAGAAATAACCTACTGGAATGGTGGTGCCCAGCGTTACAGTCAGACAGATGAGCATCAGAAGCGGGGTCCATCCATTGACTTTTGGCGGAGTCACGTGCTGTAAGGAAGGCAGAGAGATTTATATGATTAGCACTGTGCAATAAGCACAAACGAAAGACTTAAGAAACAAACTCGTCGCGGATGAGAGAGAAAGTATCAAGAAAAGGTTTTAAATCACCATTACAACAACCATGGCGATGGAACGATTCTGACACCGCAAAAGCTAAACCGAAAGTGACTCGCATCCGACAGTTCACTCAGTGCCATTCGACAGCTTGTTGAGTCATCCCCGCCGCTTGCCCCGGACTTGGAATACATTTACAGCATATAACCAGCCATAGATAAATTCAGCGTTTTTGTCTTACGAATGCTTGTTTTCTTATCGTTAGACGGGAGCGTTTGTTTGCTTCAACTACTTCCCGACAATATAAGTCAATAGTTATATACTCTTACGAATCAATCAGAGATCTTTCGTAGTGGAAAATACAAAATTTTATTAACCGACACTTAAGCATGGATAATAGGGAGTTAAGAGTATAATTAAGTCTTCCAAGTGTTGACATAATCCTAAGTTGTCTAACGCAACGGCGTGGAAGAGTATCTAGTGATTCCGCGGCGCTCTTGTTCAACAATAAATCTAATTAAAAGAGTATTACTTGGCGATCCGTCCCAAGGCGTTTTAATTGAACATGTGCAGTGATAAGAGGACGCAGCGCTCAAAGCTTTCTTACAGGGTGACTCTTAAAGTTAGATAAATTTTTGCATTTATTGTTTTTTACAAAAGAACTTACAGGCTAGACGTAAATTCAATTAGTAAGAGCACTTACACCCTGAACAACGTGGATTCCGGCTTATTGTCGACATCAACAAAAGGCACACAACTTGGACGAATCATTAAGCAGCCCACTGCACCCAGAAAGTTAAACCGTATTACCACAAACACCCGGCTACTTATGGCTAATTGTAAGTTGAGCCCACTGGGCTAGGTCTTATTTGACCTTGGAGCGAAAGCCCTTCGATACGAGAGGCGCCACCTCCGAGGGATCGCGTCCCCGCGTTTCCGGCAGATAGAATTTCGTGAGCAAGAAGAGCAGCACGCAGGTAATGGAGAAGGGCAGGAAGACGAAGGCACCCCACGCATTCTGCAGCAGGGGGAATGATATGCCAATTATGAAATTGCACGTCCACGAGGCCAAGCTGCCCATCGACATGGCCACGGAGCGGGGCGCCACCTCAAACAGTTCTGCAAATTGAAGAGTACAAATCGAATCAGTTATAGGTCTAAAAATAACCGAGGCTTTCAATTATATGGCGAGTGTGTCTGGGAACGTATTTAGTATCTTGTGGCCGTAAACAAATGTGTGCTGGGCAGCCATTGAACCCAATTCGATTCCAATTCCCCCTTAATTGCAGAATCAGTTCTTCGAAACACGAGCAGCTGCCCCAGTAACGATTGATGGATATATTGGAATGCACACAAACAATGGAGTCACGGGACAACTTACCTGCGCCAATAAAGTAGGGAATCGGACCCAGCCCGAATTGGTAGAAGAATATGTAACCCATGATGCAGACGATGCAGGCGATTGCAAAGCAGCTAACTTGGTCCTTTGAACAAAAAAAGGTAACACGGCAATTAAAGATACTGATTTGCCGAATAACAAATATTACTCACAATATAAAACAAAACAAAGGCAATGGTGAAAAGAAAAACGGAGCACAGAGCGCAAGAAAACATCATCAGAATTCGTCTATTGCACGTGGCCATTAGCCAAGGTCCCAACAATGAGACGGACAAATTCAGGCAGCCAGCTCCCAAATTGGCCCATTGCGCATCCACCGTGGACAGTCCGGCCTTCTCGAAGATGCTGACCGAGTAATAAAATATCTAAAAGGCCAAAAAATTAATAGGAAGGCCCAAGAAAAAGGTGATTACTCCACTTACCGCATTAATGCCCGACAGTTGCTGACCACCATGGAAGCAGCAGACAATGATCAGGGGCAATGTGAGACGAGGGTCGCGCAGCACATCGCAAAAGCTGCTCGCCTGCACCTTGGCATTTGCCTCTGCCTCCATTTCGGCCATTTCTTGGGCGATAAGCTCTTCCGCATTCTTGCCCCGCAGCCGTTGAAGCTCCCGCTTGGCAGCTGCACGATTTCCCTTAACGATATACAGGAACTTGGGACTTTCGGGGAACAGGTACGACGGCAGATAGCAGACCAGGATCAGAACCATGTAGGCGGTCAGGGCGTAGTGCCAGAGATCCTCAGTGCCAAAGACATCGGCCAAGCTGCAGACCTGCCCCACTACCACGCCCCCCGTCACGCCCACGGCTATGAAGACTCCCAGAGTGCCCCGCAGAGCCAATGGAGACACCTCAGACAGATACATGGGCAGGGTGGCGGTCACAAGGCCGGAGGCAAGCCCCACGACAAACCTTCCGATCACCAGCATCTCCACGGAGCTAGCTGCTCGACAGAAGAAGAAGAGCACCGCTCCCACGGTGAACAGGGTGCCGCAGATAAGAAAGCATGCTTTTCTGTAAAGGTAAAGTATTTATTAATTTATCACTCAGGGACTGGTACTTTTCATTTTAATATATATATTAATTACAACGGAAGCTAGCACAAAAAAAAAATAGAAAAATTAAAGCTGCCAAAAAATATAAAGGGCAATGAAATCTATAGATTCAAACATTTGTTTTCATTACTTGAATGCCTTTACGAAAACCGTGCAGTAAATAATTTGTATGGCATAATACGTGCCACTTATGAATGGTTTCCATAGATATGTGTATTTGCGGATTAGAAACACTTGAGGAAATCCAAGTGGCTTATCCTTATCTTATTGATTAATAGCTACATACCTGCCGAATTTATTGGCCGCTCCAGCTCCGCCCAGCGAACCGATGGCGCCTCCGACCAGGAACACAGAAACGACGCACGACCACAAGAGATCCAGACCGCCCGCGGTGAGGTTACTCCCGTAGGTGTCGTATAGGGTCTGATTACACCAAACTTTCATCAGCTGTAAAGATATCGTTTGAATCCGTTCCACTCGCTGGGGCTGTCTAAATCTCACCTTCGAGGGGGCGTTGATAACGCCTATGCAGTACCCGGTGGACACGGCGCCGCCAAATGTGGTTGCCAGGGCCACCAGCAGCAGGAGCTTGCCCCATCGCGGTTTCTGCAAGTGTTCCAAGCACAATTATTTACTCCGCAGCATTAGTTCCCCTGGTTGTACCCAAAATGTGGACTCCGATAGCAGTTCAGTGCGTCATTGTGCAGGGTCATTTCGAGATTCGAATGGGGGTTGCGTTATCAGTACTCTATGATTAATTCTTGCTTTGGCATAATCAGTATAATTGGCGCTAATAACGACTAAACTTGACCCACGAGCAAAACTTTCCATTTCTCAGCAAGAGCATTTAGGATCAGATGCGATTAGGCCGCATACTATTTATAACCGAATTTAAGTCCGCAGGCGGTGTCTCTTTATAACTGATAAAGTTTATACACTGATAAATGACTGGGAAATCAGCTGAGTATACACTGGAAGATCGGCTTTTTGGCCAATAATGAAAATTACGCGTTTCCGAGTACTTGTGCACAAAAGGGTCAAAGTTACAGTATTAAAAAAGTTGTACAGTGGAAAGCTTTCAAGCTAACACTATTAAACCATTTACATAAACAGTAATTTCTCCCCCCTACTGTTACATAATATAATCTAGCTAAACAGAGGGAATCGTGTCTTTCGTATCTTGTAACTTAAACATATGTATGTATATTGCCATCAACATAAGCACTTTAATTCGAAAAATCTATACAATATAGATCAGATGTTCATAAGTAATTCTTAAAAGAAGTGGATCGTATGTTCCTATTTCTTTGACTCTGACCCGCTCTGTATTTACATACTTGTTTATATCAAGTCAACATAGGCTCCACTGTAGGGGAATCGACCATATGCAAATCCGTCGGTTGTGTGTGCACATGCACATAAATTTCTTTTCGACTTTAAAAACAACTATGCATGACAGAAAATAAATTTATACATAGAAGCGCATACAGCAGAGCAAATTTACACACAAAAACAAAAGGAAAGAGCGGAAAATATTAAAAATAAAATGCGTGAGATAAAAATAAAAGCGAGAAACAACGAGATCGAAAAAAGAAACAAAGAAAATGTGCATGTGCAGAGATACAGTCCACAGAATAACAACAACAGCCACAAAACAATGGTGGTAGATACAAGGGAAATTCGGTGATCTTCCCGCTCTCTCTCACCTGGAAAAGAGTCTCACCTGGTTGGGATCCGTCTGCGCCGAGAGCAGTTCCACTCTGTTGGGCTGCGGGTACAATTGCTGGGCCTCCGCCGGCTGACTTTTGGTGGCCATAATAATGGACTTTGCCTGGTAATCACCACTTTTTAAGGAAACACTTTCCAAGGCACTCGGAGCACACGGTTGCGATGTGTGCGTGTTAACACGGTTAGAACAATTGTTAACAATTGGCGGTAAGGCAGGTATCGGGTTCCGAAACAGTGTTGTGCAACGGGCACCGAGTGCAGATTCTTAGTTCCCGATCCCCCAGCAGTTCGGAATGCTAAACCACAATTGTTTGTAAACGGCGCACCGCCAGCAGTGCACGCGGGATCGAGTCGGAATCAAAGCGGTACGTTGCGGCAGCGTTGGAGTCGGGAGCGCGACTGAACGCCGCCAGCTGAGCGGTATTGGTGGAGAAAAAGCTTTCGCCAAGAACGAATCGCAACCACAACAACGCTTTGGGTGCCGGCAACAGATAAGGGTAACAGGCACAAATAAGACAAGACGAAGTATTTATACCTTGGAAACAATTTAAATGGCTTTTATCACCAAATGTGATTATAAAATGATATGGATAGATAAAGGCAATTATTTCCAAAGGAATTGGTCCCAACGGGTTTTAAAATTCTTTATCGAAAGCAATTATAACAAAAATCAAAAACACTTTGATATTCTTAAATGACCTAAATATTTCCTGCTAACACTAAGAGCTTCTAAATATTAATCCCTTGCTAGAGTAAAACCATATATAGTCGAGCTTATCGACTATCGTTACTCAGCTAGTGGGAGTGCAAACAAGAAATTTCAAAATATATTTGAAAAAAAAAAAAAATTTTTAATTTCAAAACAATTTTTAAAATAGAAGGCGTGCCAGTTTTTGACAGTGTGGGCGTGGCCAATATATTTTTGGGCATACCTATGGAAATTGACAAGGCAAACGGGTTGTGGGCAACATCCAGAAACAAAGTTGCGCTGCGTCTATGTCTCTAGGATGTCCATGCATAATCGCATACATGCATTTCAGCTTGCATAGTTCCTGGGATATCGACGTTCATACGGACGGACAGACAGACGGAAATGGCCAGATCGACTACGCTAGTGATCCCGATTAAGAATATATGTATATACTTTAAAGGGTCGCAAGCGCTTTCTTCTACTTGTTACATACTTTTCGAAGAACCTAGTATACCCTACGAGAAACGGGTATAAAAAGCTCCTATCCGCTTTTGTTACCAGAAACCTTTGGCAGCAAAGAAATATTGACTAATACAAATAGGAAGGCAACAACAGAAAATTTAATAGAGCAAGAAAACATTTAAAATATTAAATTATTTCTTGTTCAGATAAAATCAGAGGAAAAAATCGGACAGAATCGTAGAGCATCTCCGAATAACTTTTAAACTGCGCGCGCTATATCGATAGAACAAAATATTTCGGTTAGTAAAGAAAAATCTTATGTGAAACAATGTGACAAAGAGCGGTACATTTTTTAAGAAATTTGATGAGATTTTTTATAAAAACGAATCAATTAAAGTGTTTACGTAAATTATTTCACAGATACAAAAAGGATTTCCCAGACAACATAAGACATTTTCAACTTTAGTAACTAAGCCACTGCATACGCGACCATCTCTAGTCGAAAGTGTCATCTCTACGCCCGCGACCAGCTGTTCAGCTTTTTGTTGACGTTGTAGTTGGAACCGCAGCGTCTTTTACCACCGTATAGGTTTAGCGTTAGTTACTAAGGAGATCGATCGCTATGTCGGCGGTGGCCTACGACTCCCTGCTGTCCACGACGGCGGTGATCAGCACCGTCTTCCAGTTCCTCTCCGGCGCGTAAGTCATCGTCATCAGGCCTCCATAATCCCATGCAACTAGCATTGTCCAAAGCAATAGCAACTGTTTGATTTCCTTATACTTGCAGCATGATATGCCGAAAGTACATACAGAAGAAAAGCACGGGAGACTCTTCCGGAGTTCCCTTCATATGCGGATTCTTATCGTGAGTTCAAACTGCCGACTTGGCACTACTAAGATAACTTCGAATTGGTCGCGCTTGGCTAGGCTACGTTTTCTTAAAATACACATCTTGTACATGTTGCACATGTAGTTAAAATCTTAAGTGGCATGTTATCAAGATTGAACCATAACTTAAATGCTCCTGGTTTTGAGTATATAAGTTACACAGGACTATCACGGATTTTAGATTTACATATATACATATATTAGGAGCAAGCCACATTCGTTCCAAACTTCACAGATTTAGCATTCAAAATCGATTTGATATCAGCTAAGTTCATTCCTATAACAATTTATACAGCATCCATATTTAAAGACCCTTTGCCTGCTTACTTGGCAATTTACCCCTGTGTTCAGGTTTTAACCAACTCAAAAAAATTGAAAATATTTGCACAGGTGCAGCTTTTGGTTACGCTATGGAGTCTTAACCAACGAGCAGAGCATTGTGCTGGTCAACATCATCGGATCGACGCTTTTTCTGGTCTACACGCTGATCTACTACGTGTTTACCGTCAACAAACGTGCCTGTGTAAAGCAGTTTGGATTCGTTCTGACCGTTCTGGTGGTGGTTATTCTCTTCACAAATCGGCTGGAAGATCAGCGCGATCGAATGATACACGTCACAGGTACGAGCCCGTTTTTGAATAAAGTTCTACAATGTCAGGTTTGCTACATTCCTGAATAAAATTGCAGGAATTGTGTGCTGCATCGTGACCGTGTGTTTCTTCGCCGCTCCGCTGGCTAGCTTGCTGCATGTGATACGGGCGAAGAACTCCGAGAGCCTTCCCCTGCCCCTGATAGCCACGTCCTTCTTGGTTAGCCTGCAGTGGCTAATCTACGGCATACTGATATCGGACTCATTCATCCAGGTGACCCACTTCCCACGACTGGCTAGCCTGACAGCTAATTACGACCCCGATTGATTGCTTTTTTTTCAGATTCCCAACTTTCTGGGCTGCATACTGTCTCTGCTGCAGTTGGGTCTGTTTGTCCTGTACCCGCCGCGAAGCTACTCCGGCCATGGCTACAAGCTGGTGGAACAGGCGGTGCCGTTTTAGAGAGCTAATCGGACACAGCCACGCATTTTGCTTTGGCTTCCGAGCGTGCCGCATACAGGGTTTATACATGCTGCTTGCTTAGACGCCAAGCTTATTTACTATAGACATATGTACGTAAAAGTAAGCCTATATTTATTGTAAAGTATTTATTAAATCCCGAGGATTTGCCTCGAATATCCCGCTACTTACGTTGCCTTGCTGTTCGGTGGCGTCCATTTGAATGTAGCCTTTAGAACCTGTATTCCTAATAAACCAACACACGGGAAACGATTGAGTAACCGAAACACTTGTTGATTTCAACTAATATGAGCACAAAAGCCCGAATTTGTTTCGGCACGGTCTGAACAGATAGAGAGCGATTTGCTGACTGGGAATTATAATAAGTGAACCCAGTGCACTTTGCTGGGCTGCGGTCATTGGTATCGATAAGCTGATATGCTGATATTCCGGGCCATAAACTGTTGAATTAAGCGACCGTATACTGGCTGTTTTGCGCCTCTGATTTAATGAAAATGTTCGTTGGCGCGGGGGTAAGGTCTGATCAATGAAATCACCTTGTCTTAATTCAATAATAGTGCTTATCGACCTGCGTGGAATCACCCAGTAAGCATGCAACCAGATAAAGCGGTAATCTTTATTTGGCGCCCAGCATCGATAAGCTGGCTTTTTGGGAGGCGGAAATGATAAAGCGAGCTCATAAAAATTTTTTTCAACAAATTCAAATTTGAATTGTAGACACGGTTAGCCTCTGGCGTTTACCAATACTGGCTTGAGGGTCTTATGGGCATGTGCGCTGCATTGCGCAACGGTCACACTGCCAGTTCCTTGTGAATCATTGTTTTGTCTTTTAAACCAGATAATATTTAAGGAAAACACCTTATAAAGGATGCAGGAACAGAGTCCCGAGCTGTACGAGGAGGTTAAGCTCTTCCGGAATGCCCGCGAGCGCGAGAAGTATGACAACATGGCCGATCTGTACGCAATCATCAACACCATCCAGCAGCTGGAGAAGGCCTACATACGCGACTGCATTACGCCGCAGGAATACACGGCCGCCTGCTCCAAATACCTGGTGCAGTACAAGGTGGCCTTCAAGCAGGTGCAGTGCGACGAGTTCCCCTCGGTGGAGACGTTCGTGAAGAAGTTCCGGCTGGACTGCCCGGCGGCGCTGGAGCGGATCCGCGAAGACCGACCCATTACCATACGTGACGACAAGGGCAATACATCCAAGTGCATTGCCGAGATCGTGTCGCTGTTCATCACCATCATGGACAAGCTGCGTCTGCAGATCAACACCATGGATGCCCTGCAGCCTGACGTTAAGGACCTAGCGGACAACATGAACCGCCTGTCTCTCATTCCGGAGGACTTCGACGCCAAGCTAAAGGTTGAGAAGTGGCTGGGCAGCTTAAATGAGATGCAGGCCTCCGATGAGTTGAGTGAGAGCCAGGTACGCCAGTTCCTTTTCGACTTGGAGTCGGCGTACGCGGACTTCAACAAGCTGCTGCACAGCCAGTAGCTATATGTTTCCCATTGTTTACGTGTATCTTTAAATTTATATAGCCTATTCCGATATTAAACAAGTTTTATATGTACCTAAAGATCGCAGTGTGTTTCACCACTCTAGATAACGGCAGCAAGTGAATTGGATAGCGCAGATTAAAAAATTTTAATTCATTTTAAATTACGGGGGATAGCTGTTAAGCCAAAAAAGATTTTTGCTCAACATTTCGTGCATACCATAATACGTTAGCTAAGAATATTAATGCAGGTTTTTTTTTCCATTTTAGTGGGTCAGTATTTCAATACAGGACTGTTTTTAAATGCTATTAATAAATAAATAACAAAAATTTAGTTTGAGCAGCTTGACAACTTCTATTCCGTTTACTTTCAAATGATGTAACGATATAGATTGGCCCCTTGGATTGAATCATAATGCATTCATGAAACAATTTTAAATATTTAACCCAAAAATAGTCTTCTATAGTCCATTAGTCAAACATTCCAACAGATTTAAGTAAAAGCGGCAAAGCACTTCATTTTTTGCATTTTGTTTGGATTTAATCGTATCTTCTTTTTTGTATTTAGTTTAAATATTAAGGTTATAATTATACATATAAGTTTAAACCGATTACAATAATTAATTTTTGTTTGTTTTGTTTTTTCTCATTCACGTTATGTTTGTGGTTTTGTTTTCTTTAATATATATACTTGTATTTTTAATTTACTGTTCTGCTCTTTCCGGTTTCTCTCTTACACTCTTAAATCTGTTAAATCGTTTTACGCCTTTAATAATTAATAATTGTTACTCTTTATCTTTGTAAATTTATTTGTATGCAATGTGAAAATGGTACTTGGTATATTTATGCGGATGTTGCTGTATGTTTTGTTTTACTCTTTGTTGTGTGAGGGAGTGTTGGTTGGTTTTAGGAGTCTCCTCCTACCACCTGAAACACCTTCATGCTGGGTTTTTGTATGCAAGTGTGGGGTGTGTTTTGAGGCTGATGGGAGGAGGGAGGCGTGGTCAGGACGCTGCTGAGCGGCGCCTTTACAGTGCGTTCGTAGTAAAAACGTTTCTTATTAAGTAAAGTATGATCGCTTATCTTCGTATATTAGATAATCATCCTCCGACGCTGGCGAGGATTTCTCGCTCCCCACCCCGTCGGCGAGTGCTTGATGTTGTTGTGGTGGCGGCTGTGGTTGCTGTTCTTGCGGTTGCTCCTTGACGAGCATCAGCAACTGACCGGGAATTCCCGGCATCGCCGATGTCGTCTTCACTATTGCTGCTGATGGCGTTGTAGTTGCATCTACGGTAGTTGTTGTGTTGCCGGCTGCTATTGTGGTCACTTTTGAGTTGGTTGCGAGTGTAATGGGAAGCGCCCGGACATTGCTGGCGCTACTCTTGCTGTAGATGTGGTGAATGGGCGTGGTGGCTGTTGTGGTGGTGGTGCTGCTGCTATTGCTGCGAAGGCTATAGAAGTCGTTCGCGCGGGCGATCTGCAGGGGCCGCCAGATCGTGTTCTCCGGAAGCTAGTTCTGTCCGGCCCAGTACGAGGGCGAGTAGCCTTGCTTGCCAGCAGACTTTGACTGGCTGGTCGACTGCTGACGCTGTCCGGCACTGTTCGAGTCCTGCAACGGATACGATTGGGGATCAGTACCTATGTTAATGGCAATCTGGATTGATTGATGCTGCCGCCTTCCCAAGCAGAATCAGAATAATCCGCTTCTTTCGGACTGCACCCGGCCATCCATACACAAATGTGGGTTAACAGTTTTAGATACACATATTCGCTGATTATATACACGGCAGTTTTATATAAAAGTGAAGGCACATGAATATGGTTATGCATCTGATTACAGCACGACCCTTTCGGCGATCGATATCTTCTTTTTGGCGCCGCTTCTGTGGGACACATGCAACTAGAAACTAGATGATACGAAACATATTCTTTCGATAGGACAGGTTACATGGACATGAGGCATGCGTGGGAGTGTTAAAGTTATGCAGTTCACCAAGAATTAAGCAACACTTTACACGTGATTACAACAAAGGAACTTACCCGGCGGGATGAGCTATGAATCCTGCCGTCCATCTAATAGTTGTCCCATAAAAAATCAAAAGAAATTATAAAGAAAAGTCAAACAATAGAACAGTTTCATGCATTTCTCAATTATATGCCTCACTACTGTCGTATGAAATGTTTAATTCCCAATTAGGCCATCAAACTTCCCAAGGACACTGTTTACTCGTACTGATGCTATGCTGATGCTCCAAATCAATTTCAAAATATCAGAAAATGCATGAAATGTTATTTGTTAGTAACGATTACAGGTGAAAAACAAAATGTTTAATGACTGACACAAATAAAATACTTTGGGTGTGTGTTTTACAGAAAATGTGCGTGGGTAATAGTGATTAGTGACGTACAAATATATGATTAGTTAGTGTAAATGTGGTGTTAAATTTTGTAATAATGAAAATAAATATACAAATACGTGCAGTTGAACAAAATCAGCTTCACAGCTACAAGGGAAAAACAAGGTTACTGTGATATCCAGGATTGGTGTAGGCGTGAGCTTTTTTAAGGACATAAACCAATATCTAAACGCAGTTAACAAATGTGGAATGTAGTGGCGAGTGTGCAGTTACGACCGGTGAAAAATAAAATTGTAGTGTTAACAATAACGAGATGAGTTCCCTAAGCATTTCATCAGTCGGCGAAGAAAGATAAGTCGTTTTGATTGTCGCGATCACAGCAGTCGATATTCTGTTCAAAGTTATTGCAATGAGAGGCAACGCTCTGATTCTGACACTGGGCAAGGTCTGATTGCCAGATCCGCTGGAATGTAACTTGGGGACCATTCCCATTTCCATGAATGAGGACATGACTATCCGCCCCTCCGCCTACAACAACATGGAGTGGTAATTCTGAATGTACCTGGTGGATAGGCTGATGGATCATATTGTGGTGTCCGGCCGCTGGCATCGGCAAGTACATGCCATACGGTTGGGCAGAGGTGCCTCCAGCCGTCTGAGTGTTGGGCATGTTAAACGGCGGCGGAGTGCCCGAATGGAAACTCTGCTTTTCGTACGACTGAATAACGAAAAATACAAAGGTAACATGTAGACAAGTAGGAAAAAGGTGTTTTAACCAGGGCTGTGAATTCTTATTGTTGTGTTGCTTTACTAATGGCGCCATATGACGGGTTCATGATCTTACATCACCCTAAGCAAGTCAAAGGATTTGCTTGATTATTTTGCTTATGATTAAAAAGCGCAGTTCAAATGTTTAAACATCGAAATCAGGTTTAGAAGATCCTGTGCTCGCAATCCACAGCCCTGCTTATAACCATACGTACATTAACCTTGTTCAGCGCCACATGTCCCTTCCCGTACATAGAAGAGGTCAGATCAGATCCAGTGCCTGCCTGCGACTGGTTAGACACCGTCTGAGTTTTGCTCTGCTGATTCACGCTCGACGAGTAGCCGCCCTTGCTGTAATCCTGCGTGGTCTGCGACAGAGTGTCATAGCTGGTCGAGCCGTAGCCCGCGCTATACGAAGGCTTCGGGAACTGTTGACCGGAGGCCGTGTTTGCTGCCGGTATTTGCTGCTGTTGAATGAGTTCAGACGTTATGGGGAATTGCATACAAAGTGATCAGAATTTATTAAGCTTACTGGATATATGGCGGGGGTGCCATATTGAAAACTGCCGGGCATAACATTGCCGCCATAGAAGTAGGCGTAAGGAACATTTAGCATGGGCGCACTTGAGCCCGCCTGTT